AGCGTGCCAGGTATAACTTTAAACATTAGTAGATTAGCATGCTTTATCAGAAAGGTGTAAATTGCATACGCCTAAGGATTAGGAGTGCGACCTATACAGAACAATGTTTGTGATATTACCAGTATATCCTCTTTCGAACTTGAGTCTAGCTTCTATATTTTTTTCCATTCAAATTTGACGATGATATAATCGTACATTTTCACATCCAAAGTTGGAGAACCTTGGTCCCTTGTACAGATATGAGATGTAGTTATTTCGAGGTGCTAAATCGGGGATTCGAGGGATCTTAGCCGATCAACTTTTGGTAATCATTGCAAGTGCTTTGACGATCTCTCATGAGAACATGAAGGAATTGAGCCGAAATATGACATTGAGATGGGTTGCGTAAGCATACAAGTAAGTATCTGCATCGGTCATGTAAAAATGACAAAATTTGTAGATTCTTCAGTAATGATCATAGTCTCGCGCTTGTCGCGGGGCGTAAATCACCCAATCTCGATCGGAGTCGATTCAGACGATTTTTCTGTTTAGCTGTTACAAATTGACGGTCTCGAGAATATTTCAAAAAAGGCATTCATTATATGCTGATGTGTCGTGTCTGGCAGATCCACTCGTTTCAACCCACTGCTAGGTAGGGGTCGATTGCAAGTGACACTTTCACTTGTATACGGTCATGCGTAGCATCGCGATAAAACACTTTTATTGTTACTATTAGAATAGATTTAAGAGGTATCTATTGTGAGCCGGAGCTGAGAACGGATCCTAAGCTTATCTTTGTTTATCCTCGCAGTGTTGTATTTTTAGTGATGAACGTCGAGCTCGTAGACGTTCAGTGGCAGAATTGTCATCTAGAGCCGGTACAGCAGGGGTCCGTTCTCAGGTTTTGAACCGGCCGCTACAGTACAATGATTGATGCATAGGCCAAGATAAAAAGGGCTTCTTACGACGCATGCACTAAGATATAATAGCACATAGAAACTTTTAGGAGAACGTCCCACCAGTGCTACGAGAGGTTGTGAACAGCGTCTTCGCGAGTTTCCGTATTGCGAAGAGGGTCAATAGGGGTGCGAAACGCGACGGGAACGCTCCAGTTACTTTCAACAGAATTACGCATAATGTTTTATCGCGTCTTCAGCTTCTCTTGTTCGTTGTAAAACCTCCCGATTTCCCTGTGTAGTACGTGCAATAATTAGTGCACGGCAATACCATTCAATAATCAAATTTCTGATATAACCAAAATCCACGCCTTCCTCTTTTCATTCGCTTCAATTTTTCTAATCTCTCACCAATAACAATCCTCATCACGTTTCATGAACTGCCTTGAATCTTAGAATGAGTAATGGAAACAAGAATAACCATGTACCCATCCTCTCAAATCGCATTTCCATACTGTGTAAACCTGGCTGGAGCCCATTCCCTTTCAGATCAAGTCTCTCTCGCTAATGCGGGAACATCAGGAACTTGAGCAACGGTCGGAAGAAGACAACTATCCATCTTGCGAAATCCGCCGATAGGTGACGCACACCCATTCTCCCACTTGAGTAATCAAACCACCTGAAGGCTCAAAAGAGAACGGTCTAGGCTGAGCTAGCTGAGTTCATCCAGTATTCCCACATTGCGAGCTTCACTCGGACATATCTCCGGGGCTTTGAGCCAACCATAAAGGCGAATTGGATGTAGACGAAACAATTTTACTAGCGACTAGGGTGGCATTGCCTTTCTTTGAAAGCTATGTTTTATCTCATTCCCTTTGTTTCCGTTTGCGCTTCTGGCCTTTTTTCTCGCGCGATAACATCGAAATGATCGATCATGCTGATGTGATTCGGGTAGAACTAGTACAAACTCGTACTAGTAGAGCTTTAGTGTAACTCCGATACAAGTAGAGCTCTCACTTCATAGCCGTTTCCTAACTTTAGTGATTTAGAAACAGCTTGCATGCCTTCCTATTACAGACCTTATGCTTCCTCTGGTACCTTGTGAAGAGTCATGATCTTGACTGATAAGTAAGTTCATGCAGCATGCCCAAATCTTAACGCTTGCTTTTCCGCGGGAGTTGCGTTTCCTTTCTACATTACAATATCTTTTCTAATAATGGTACTTGAGCTTCTACGGCCCGAGCTTAGGGACGTTGTAACACGGTGCGAATCTATATACTCTTTGCTTGCCCCTTCAAAATCGAAAGCGTTTTGTAATTGATGGTTGGTTGCCAGTTGTAATATCTGGCCGAGGGAGCCTAGGTAAGAATGCATACTTTGGGATAAGAATTATCTAAAGGCTTTGGATTCTTCCCACATAGGTTCTACAGCTGCCTGTTATCTTCATGAAATTCTGGTTCTAGAAGCTTCGAGAGAGTTCTATCAAGAGATATTAGTAATAACTGCTATTGAATATTGTATTGAACTCGTTCTGTTTATGAGATTTTGTATTGCGGATTATAAAACGCATGTTGAATTTGAGAATTCCCTTCAGGCACAGGGGCTGGGCTATTTTTGACGTCTTGGTGTTTTCTATTCGGAGACATTACTAACTAACAAACATCAGGTGGGTAGGTACCTAATGATATTGTGAAGTAGAAAAAACATCCACCGAAAACTCGACTGAAACAACCCCGGCAGTTTTCTTGCTCTTTATCTAGAACTAAACTCAATTAATAAGCTTTCAAAGAAAAATATACGGATTCATGTATAAAAAAATATTTCACAGCTAGACCGGCTGACTCTTCGTCGATTTAACGTTCGCATATTGAGTGCGCTTAGTAATGCGGTAGAAATCCGCCCGGGCCAATCAAGACTAGGAGGACCTTTTCCTCCGATGAGAATACCGATTATGTAATCAAAATGTGACCGTGCGCAGATTCTAGAGCCATTCTCGCCGACAAATCAGATCTAAGAACCAGGGGTCGCTTCGGAGGCATCTGCCTCCTCCGAATGCGATCAGATCAGATGTGATCACTTCATCCTTGCTTCTTTCACTGAGAGATCAACAGATAATGAATATCGAGCGCAGCGAGGACTGGGGCGAAGTCACCATACAGAAAATGTATAACATATTAAGAAGAGCACATCCCTGACAGCGTCAATTGCAACGACTCCTCAGAGCCATGAAGCCTTTCGATATCGAGATCGTCTCATTATTGTATGTCACTGCTATCGAAGAAAGATGGTGAAAGGTACGATGTAGACTTGACTGGTTACTGGGATGCTACAACTCCAGAGCTTGTTCCGAGTGGTGAGTTCGTGAGTAACAGACAATGATGAGACGGTTTAGATTTCGGTATTCGCCAATCGGGTTTCGGGATCTCTATGGCGCTGTGGTATATACGCATGGAAGGATGGATGTAGTGATGAAAAGGAACAAGCCAGGGAGAACTCCAACGATAGATGTTGGATGTTAGATGTTGGATGTTAGATGTTGGATGTTGGATGAAAGAGGGGCGATGATGAAATCAAAAATGGACAGGGCTAGATGGGGAGTCTGGAGTAGTACCGACTATTGATATGATAGGAAAAGAAGAAGGAAGACGAAGGAAGATGCGATAATTGATAAAAGAGATGGGATTTTGAAAAAGTTAAATCAATTGCCATGTTTTTCTTTTTCCTTGTTTTCCTTAAAGAGGTTAATTGTGAGTGGTCAATTGTCGCTAAGGCTGATTGATAGGTCGGATAGCGGATAGCTTGAAAGAATAATGAGGGGGTGGCGATATATCTTTTTATCTCCCTCTCCCTCTTTCACTCTTTCTCTCCGGAGATTCTGTTCAACGTATGTCTAGTACATGCAACTTCACATTCGATCGAGTATTAAATAGTTGTCATAATTAATATAATGGAGAGAATATATTGAAAGCAAATTGTCTCTTTGAACTATCTATTCAACTTTCCCATCTAGAGGCGAGTGTTTGTATGAATAACCTTACTTGTGCATGGTATCGTTTCGGACTCATCTCCTTGACCAATGTGCATGCCAGAACCATTTCCTGCTTATCATCCTAAAGACATTCTTCCATCATGTCGGAGCGAACCTCCTTAAAAATGGGATCAAAAAAACAAAGCATATCACATGTGTTTATAAAATATTTCTAGAATGGGACAATGAAAATCCAAGACAAGGTTAGTCAGACGAAGTTTGCAAGCAGAGATTGGATATCGCAACCAACGGAGGCTTCGGTATACGAGTTTTCATTATCTGGCCTGCATAAAGGAAACCTTTGAAATTTTTCTGTCAGATTCGCACATCTTCTTCCAATTTGGCTTCTTCGATGCTTGTAAACGCGGGGATAGCTAGTAGAAGCTTGGTTTTTTTCTTCTGATCTTTTCCCTTTTTTTCCCTTTCAAAACCGGTTCATGCAATGATGATAGATAAGAGAGAGGGACAAGTAATATAGGAAGTTTACCATCCCCTTTGTCTATGGCATTTGTTAATCTGCATCGATTCAGCTAGAGTGTTATCAGGAATCGAACGCTTCTCGGTTCTTATTGGATTCGATGGTCTGATGTCATTGTGCGCTGTTGCTTGCAGGGTGAAGACGGGGCTGGATATAATTATCTCGATGTCTCGCCCTGGAATTGTTTGATTGCTAACCTACTGTCAAGTTGACTTCTTTCTCGATATTGATCGAGATATACGATATAATATTAGTTCAAGCTACAGGGAAGAAAAGTTTTAATAATTAACATACTATATACTTTGTTTTAATATTGTTCTAGAAGTTCACACAGCATAATTTTCCCTCAAACTTTATTACCTGTCATCAGATTAACTCACCAGATCCAAGTCCCATGCTGCCGCCTGCTTATTGGCGTTTCAATTAAAGCTTCAAAGCTATCACCCAACTACTGGTATTCGCTTGCCCCGACTTTACCTGATAGGCCAGTCACCTCGACCGTCATCCGGAACTCGAATACATTCTGACAGCAGGACTAATACCTGTACACGACCTTGTTATCCAATTGATCCTAGTCAGCCAGGATCGAATATCTCAACATATCCGTAAATCCGTGGCGATGTACCGAGCAAAGTTCCAGCAACCTCACCCGGGCCAACTCAACTTCGATGAGTTCGTCGCTGAAGATATGCAGAAGATTCAAAGCAACAATATCACTTCCAACCTATTCGTTACTCCAAGAACAGAAAAAGCACAAGCAGATTGGAATGAACTCATAATAAATGGAAATGACCAGGTAAGATAAACCCGAAATGGCTTCAATCTCTCATTGGTGGACGATTGAAGCCGAAAGATGCAAGATTTTGAGTTCTTATAGGCCTTTATGGATTTGAATATTGCAGAAGATGATTCATTCTCGACGATGTTCGATGACGTTATACAAATACCAAACACAGCTTTCAATATGAACACAAATGAGGAACAACAGGATGGGATTGGCTGGAGTCCAAATACCACAGCAAATTCGATCAACCCATTTACCAATCCGTTCACAAATATCTCTGAAAGTTCATTGAACGTCGGAAATTCCCACCTTCCTACTTCTCAGACAAAAATTAGTTCTAAAAGTCCGACGGAAATCGCTCCACTTGAAATTGAAGTTGCGACCAATCCGCCAAACAATAATTTGGCCATTCTCAAACCCTCTAAGAAACGAGTCTTGAGTCCTCTTGCCCATTTGGAAGACACGCAATCTCTCACTACCAACTCCAATTCTATCCCAACCACATCACTTCCTCCAAAAAAGAAACGTCGTCCCCGCGCAAGAAAGATTCTCACCCCTGCGGAGATTCTTCGGGCTCGCGAAAGATACCTCGAGAAAAACCGACGCGCCGCACGGAAATGTCGACTCAAGAAGAAAGCTGAAATAAACGCCGATCAGGAAAAATATGACCTTTGTGTTGCCGAAATGAATGCTACCAAAACTAAGTTGTTGGAAAGTCGGAGGGAACTGCTGAATTTGATTGAAATTTGTAAGGGAATGGTAAGGGAGGGATGCGGTGATGCGGCCATTAGGAAATTTGTGGCGAATTGGGAGAGAAGGGAAGAGGCTTATAGGGGAATGCTTGAGAGTGCGGATGTGGGGGTTGAGGCTTGGAAATTAATCGAGAAGTGTAGGAGTGCAAGATTAGGAGAAGGAGCTTTAGGGGATGCCATGGATCTGGAAGGAGACCCGGAAGGGTTCATGTGTGGTGCGAATCTTTGGGAGGCGGGAAATGTTTGTGATGTTGGAAACGAAGCGAATGTCGAAGAGGCAGATTGCGATATGGATCCGGGAAGTATAGGATGTGATGAGCTGGCTTCAGTTGATTCTCTTCAATCTTCGCCTCTAATACAGCAAACACAATTGTGCGAACAACAAATAAATTCGCAACAGCAGCGACCGCCAGATTTAAGGTGGCATGAAGTGATTACTTCCTTGCAACAAAGCTATGCCCTAGATCCTATCACAGCTGTTCCAAACCACAATGAGAACGGGAAGTTTCTTTTTCAAAAGCTCTTGGATCAGATTACTAAATCAAAGAGTACTCCTGTACCTATGGATACTCTAAACTCACCCTTGTTCCAACAGCAAGAACCAAATATTGTTTCTATAGAAGATTCATCCACATCTACACCAATCGATCTCGCCTCTACATCACCTCTGAATCACCCAGCTCAAGTCCAAAGTCTGCCACGACCGCAAGTCCCCGATTTACAACAACAATCAAACTGCTACTTGGCAACATCAAGAACACGTCACCAAAGTCTCGACAGTGGCTATGGATCCTTTTCCTCCGCATCATCTTCTCAGAAAAACTCAGCACCCCCTTCTCAAACCTCAAATATCAGTGCAAATTGCTGGTTTCCAGATTTAGCTCCTACATGCATTGGTAGTGTTGATATTGCTGATTTCCAATCACCGCTACTTTCCGATCAGGTAACTGACACGTGTCTGGATATTATACCTGAGACCCAAATGGGAATCGCAGACGGAGAGAATTCTCTACCTTTAAACTCGACCGCGAACTTAGTTCTAAATTAACTTTGAAGAATGGAATACAAGTCTGGAAATGACTGTGGATTCGAGTTTTTTTCTCCATCAAAAATCTTTTTGTATTTGAGTACCCAAAATTGCGCATGTGAATACTAGTGCGCGTATGCATGCTTGTAGATAAGATATATTAGCTAGATATATTAGCTTGCGATACCCCGTGGTGTCAGATAGAGTAGTTAATGAAGTGATTGTTTCGTCACATCCTATAATTATAGCCTTGTGTAATTTCTCACAGAAATATGATCTAAATAATGATGAGAACGAATAAGCGTCTAGTTACAGCACATTAGGCCGTTTTAGGAATAGGTTAGCCATGAGAGCTAACTCGGCATTTTATGATACTTTCCCGGGCGTAATACAAAACAATGAGGTCATACCGCTAGGATGTTAATCATCCATACAAATAAGGTAAATGACGTATCTTCCTCCCATCGTTACCTCGTTAGACGATTCAACTCCCCACAGTTGAAATAAATCTCAAGATCTCAAACTACTTAAATTACATCTCATCATCTCATCACCTCTCTGTCTACAAATGACCTCACACATCCTCCCCATCCCCACAATCAGTATATCACTCACATACTCACAGACACTACTATATTAATAAGCTAATATAACAAAACACTAACACTTTCATACATAAATCCTCACTTCTCATAAATAATAAATAACATGATTTATCATCGAATAAACCATATCATCGAGTAAACCACTTTCACCTCAATTCACACTTTCAAACTCATATTATTCAACAACAACTAAATTAATTAATTGAAACTATAAAGATTTTAATAATTTAGAATCTATTCAATCATTTTGATAAATCCTTATATTATACTCAATCTTTCCACACTTACTACAGCATCAATTAAAAAATACTTCTCTATTAGAATTCTTCTCTTTTTGATATTTATTATATTGAATTTGAATATTAATTTCTTATCAAAATAATATATTAAAAGCCTTTTATCTAATAAGTATTCCTCCTTAATATAATTGAGTTTTTTTTGTATATTAATATTTACTTAATGCTTTATTTGCTATTTGAAGTATACGAATCTCTATATTCAAAAGTATATTTTCATAAGCTAATCTTTTTATACCCTTAATTAAAATTAATATAGTTTCGAATATAGGTATAAAAAAGCTTAATTAATAACAAGTTATTTGAGATTTTATTAAAGTTGATTATGAAAGAGCTTCAAATGAATTATAAGAGGTTTAAGAGATTTATAAATCTTAATTAAAAAAGGGAGAAATAGATATATAAATTCGAATATCTAGTTTCAAAAGTACAGTTTTAAGATCGAAAGGTATTAAATTTGTTCTTTGAAATTTTGATTTTATATTTTGAAAAGTAATTGATTCTTTATATATAATTTTAAAAGCTATAAAGAATTTAATCTTTAAAATATAATTGATATATATCTTAATAAATCCATTAATTTAATTATTATATAAATGTTTCAGATTATTAAAATAATTAATATCAAATAATTGAATTAAATGATTTAAATATAATAATAAACTTAAATATATAATATTGTTCTTTTTATAATATACTTGAAAAGCTATTAATTTATAATTTTTATATCTATTTAGTATTAACATTCGATATTTACTCTTTTTTCGATTCTTAATATATTTATTGAAATATTTCAATCATTCTAAACCCATCTTATTATTTGTTCATTTATTAGATATAAATTTAATAATCTATTCTATAGAAAGATCGATTTTGATATATTAATTAAAGAGATAAATCTATTCCTGAATTACTAAAAATAAGGAAATAGTTTTACTCTTTTTATTCCTACAAATTATTGTTATAGTTTATTCTCGATTATTTAATTATATTAATTTACTTCTATTACATCTTTTAGTATTAATTATAATTATTTTAGAGTATATTATACTTATCATAAAGTTTGTTTTATCAAAGTTATAGAAATCATTATTCAAAATGTTATATTTCATTTATATATTTATAACTAATTGAAATTATTCTTTAATAAGCTTAGAATCTTTACAAAAAGCTTTTTGAAAGTTATAAACATAATTAAAACATATTTTTAATTTGATTCAATACTTTACAAATCAATATGCCTAGAACTTCCTAATACACTTTGTACCCTTCAATTCAAGAATATGATTTGCTATATCTTTTATTCCCTTGAATTTAAATGGAAAACCTTTTGAATTTATATCAAGAATATATTAAATAATAATCTTTTCTTTTAATTCTATAAGTTTATATTGATTCGCTTGAATTTCGATATATAGAATTAAATTATTCATTTTATAAATGAGGATTGTACAAGGAATATTATATAGCTAGAAAGCCTTTCGAAAACTCAGTTTTTTATCGTTTTCGATAGCTTTGATAGTTAAAAGCAAATATGCTTCTTTATTATTAGATTGTATAATAAATGATTGATAAATCGCGTGTTAAAGTTGATCGTGTTTATTGAAATGAAAGTAGTTCATTTGATGATATAGTTCACTCGATGATAAATCACATTATACAGCCTAATTAAATATGTTATAAATGTAATACGCCAACCCGTAGCGCCGCAGCTTACCTAAGAAGCATATATAAATAGTATAGTCTCTATAGAGAAGAATAAGTCAGCTTTTACAACCACTTTATATTTGCCTCATAATAAATCTTAATTGATAGATTATAAAGCCTAAGTGAACAAATTAATATAAGATATTATATGGTTTATAAGACTACATTCTATTTTAACAAAAGTCAGATTTTTTCACTAAACGATATTATCCTATGAATCAATTACTACGATACTCAAATGCTCAAACACTACAACACTCAAGCTTATCACTCTCATCTCCTTGAAAAGAAACTAAAGCATTCGAATTCTTCCAAACCCAACACAATATGACTAAACCATTTAAATCAGAAATACAGCAATTCTCTTACCCTACCCTACCCAAGATTCCCTAACACCGACCTACGTATCCCCAACCCATAATCAAACCCCGCCCCGGAAAAAAGTGGGGCCAGCTCCTTGACGAGAACAAAAAAACAGACCATTCAAGCTCGCTCGCTCGCTCGCTATAGGAGAACCGAACTGAGAGACTTGCTTGGCGTTACTCTTTGAGGAGAGACAAATGTGTTTCTTGATGAGTTATTTTTATGGGTTTTTATGGGGATGGGAGGATGTGCGAGGTTATTTGTGAGTGTGTATGTAGATAAAAAGGTGATGTAATCATTATTAATTATTGTTATTTACTAACGTGATTGTTACGACGGATAACAAGAACTACAGGATTAGCATCACGTGACCATAAAAGCCGACAATCGAAATCGACTTTCGACTTTCGACTTTCGAAACTCGACCATCGGCTTTCGACAATCGACTCAAGAGTTAACAGAGCAGGAAGGTCTATATAAGGGAACAGGATTTCATTACAATGTAGAGCTTCGTGCTCAAGAACAATCATTAGTTTCATTACTATAGTTACGAGAATTGCAACCAGTTACAACCTTATTGAATTCCTACTTGAAGTCTAGTCTAAACCACCTCGAGAGATCTCTAGACACTTCCACGTGACCCTAGAGGCAGCTCCCGTAACAGTGATTTATCATCGAGTGGACTATATCATTAAGTAAATCATTTTTATTTTAATAAATACAACTAACTTTAACATGTAATTTATCAATCATTTATTATATAATCTAATAATAAAGAAGCATACTTGCTTTTAATTATTAAAGCTATTAAAAATAATAAAAAACTAAGTTTTCAAAAAGCCTCCCAATTATATAATATCCCTTATACAATTCTTATTTATAAAATAGATAATTTAACTTTATATATCGAAATTCAAGCGAATCAATATAAACTTATAGAATTAAAAAAGGAGATTATTATTCAATATATTCTTAATATAGATTTAAAAGGTTTTCCATTTAAATTCAAGGGAATAGAAGATATAGCGAATTATATTTTCAAATTAAAGAATGTAAAGTATATTAGAAAGCTTTAAGCATATTGAGTTATAAAGTATCGAATTAAATTAAAGATATGTTTTAGTTATGTTTATAACTTTTAAAAAGTTTTTTACAAAGATTCTAAGTTTATTAAAGAATAATTTCAATTAATTACAAATATATAAGTAAAATATAATATTTTGAATAATGATTTCTATAACTTTAATGAAACAGACTTTATAATAAATATAATATATTCTGAAATGGTTACAATTAGTACTAAGAGATATAGCAAAAGTAAATCAATATAATTAAACAATCGAGAATAGATTACAATAATAATTTATAGGAATAAAAAGGGTGAAACTATTCCCTCATTTTTAATGGTTTAGGGACAGATTCATCTCTTCAATTGATACATCAAAACCAATCTTCCTGTAGAATAAGCTATTAAATCTATATCTAATAGATGGACAAATAATAAAACGGGTTTAGAATGATTGAAATACTTCAATAAGTATATTAAGAATTGAAGAAAGGATAAATATTGAATGTTAATGCTAAATAGATATGAAAATTATGAATCAATAGCTTTTTAAGTATATTACAAAAAGAACAATATTATATATTTAAGTTTATTATTATATTCAAATCATTTAACTCAGCCACTTAATATTAACTATTTTAATAATCTGAAACATTTATATAATAATCAAATTAATGAATTTATTAAAGTATATATCAATTATATTTCAAAAATTGAATTCTTTATAGCTTTTAAAACTACATATAAAAAATCAATTACCTTTCAAAATATGAAATCAAAGTTTTAAAAAACAGATTTAATACCTTTCAATCTTAAAACTATACTTTCAAAACTGAATATTCAAATTCACACATTTATTTCCCTCTTTTTCAATCAAGATTTATAAATCTCTCAAATCCCTTATAATCCATTTGAAGCTTTTTTATAATCAACTTTAATAAAATCTCGAATAACTTATTATCAATCAAGCTTCCTTATACCTATATTCAAAACTATATTAACTTTAATTAAAAGTATAAAGAAATTAGCTTATAAAAATACACTTTTAAATATAAAAATTTATATACTTCAAACAACAAATAAGATATTAAGTAAATATCGATATATAAAAAAAACTCAATTATATTAAAAAGGAGTACTTATTAAATAAAAAGCTTTTAATATATTATCTTAATAAAAAGTTAATATTCAGATTCAATATAATAAGTATTAAAAAGAAAGGAATCTTAATAGAAAAGTATCTTCTAATCAATATTATAATAAGTATAAAAAGATTGAGCATAATATAAGGATTTATTAAAATGACTTAATAGATTCTAGATTATTAGAATCTTTATAATTTCAATTAATTGATTTAGTTGTTGTTGAATAATATAAGTTTGAAAGTATAAATTGAGGTGAAAGTGATTCACTCGATGATATAGTCCACTCGATGATAAATCACGTTAGTCTATTCTAATATTTTCTTATGTATAAAAAGAAAATCCTTTAATAGTTTAGAACATGGTCTTATAAACGAGTATGAATAATAACCAAATATTCTTTTATGAACCAATTAATACGATAGTAAAAATTGTGAGATTTTATCAGGCGGAGTTGGATTTTTGGAGATCGCTTGTATATATTCTTCCTTTCAAGTTTATGGGAATGTGAGATCTAATTACTGATCGGAGTGTACTGTACTGTGGGTATGAAAATACTTCTAGTATCGTATAATTTGATTTAGGAGACTGCAAGAAGGAAAGTTCAACCAGGACGGATGGATTGAGTCTTGAGGAAAGAAGGTAAAACTTCTCGCTTCGCAGGAAAGAGAATGTGATTAGTTGCTTGTAGTTTTCGAGTTGTTTATATACTTCAAGTTGTTGATCGATATGGTTACATCGATTTCTAAGAACAGTATTCATTTAACATAGTATGTATACTCGAACAAGCGTAGTACTACAAGCACTTTCTTATCTTATATGCCTCTCAGACTCGTTGGGTTTAATTGATAAATCTGGAGATAGTAGTATCCTCAGTTTAGACTGCTTTTCATTCAAGATCATGGCGAGATCTCGAAATTGTCGCGTGGAAAAGTGTTTTGTTGGCAGCTGAAGTCAAAACTAGTCACCCCTGGTTTCTGAAGAGTGGCATCTGCATCTCCTGGAGATATCAAACTGGGCTGATTAATTCGTGAAGTTCTAGATACACTCTCATACAAAGCGGTAATCCGGATTGATAGAAAAGTTCGAATAAAAAATCTGAAGACGATGGACTGTCTAAAGTGAATTGAATATTTGAAGTCATGTGAACATTATGAATGAGTCACTTACATGTGTCAGAAGTTCTAGAATGGTTTCAATGATCGTAGGACCACGATCCGGAATTCTAGTCCTGCGCCACAATATCCACAACTTGAGGGTCACAAGTGCGTACTCGGGAACCTCTTCAAAGGACAATATATCATAGTGTATACTTGCAAAGTTATTTCTGCGATTTTGTATCTTCATATGGCTTTTTCAATATTGCCTTTGATTCATTTATTTTCACTATCTACACACTCAAAAGCGTCATCACTCCCAACTTATTAAGCACAATTAAAGACAATCTTCCTTCCACGAAAGACATAAACACCAAAACCGGGATCAAAATTGGGATCAAAATAGGGAAAGGAACAGAACCCTAAGAATAACCCCGAGAAATTAATCCCCATGGTAAGAACCACGTTCTTTGAGATTTAAGTAGCATCTTTTAGGGCATTGTTCTGACTCTACTGAAGAAGTGCTCTTCACAAGTCACACCTCTTCCATCCTTCACCAATAATTCTCTCAACAAATCAGAACTCTCCTGTCCTACTGGCGTAACAGTATATTATGGACATGTAGATTAGACCAACTTCAAAACATATTTATGAAATCCATGTACTGTGTGTTATAAAGCGAGTCGAAAAAAGTTTGCCAGCACTTCATTTTGAAACTTCGAAAAGTAGAGTGAAAATTTACTTCAGTTTTTGAGTGATCCGGATTAGGAGAAAAATCCTATTCATATATTCTGGATGTTTGTAAGAATCTAGTTGTTGATTTTGAGAGTCCTGATATGCTTTTTTATTTTGGTATTGTGTCATCGAGCAATGTCATATTGACAGGAAGGAAATTTGTAGCTTTCTTTAGGATAGAGTCAGCATAAATCTTGAATCAAATTCGATATGGATATGATGAATTTTGCGCAAACGGAGCAAGCACCCAGCTGAGCTGCGGCGTGCTGTTTAAGTATACAGGTCGTGATATGGAAATAAACGAGTTGGCGTCACTGAGCGAGTGTCTTTGATAAACCACGGCGTGTCGCAACTCTTCCTTCCTGGCTCTGGAGATCATTACCATGCTGCATCCCAATTTTGCAGATCAATTAAGTGGACGCAATGATGTAGAGAGGGGCTTGGACACTCCGACGCAGTGAAAAACTATTATATATCATTGCATTGTGCAGCGTGCAAACCTATTGAACAGAGAGCGGTGTCAATTTGGGTTGTGTCAAAAAGGAATGTATTTCTAGTCTATCTTTGCAGTCTAGTTGAGAACAATGGTGACCAAGTTAGCAAAGGCATAGAATATACATTGAATTATTATCACGATGAGAAATTAATTGGTTGAATGTAGAGTATAATTCATGGTATTATACCACAGAGGATAGCTATGTTATTTAGTTACTTTGATTCCTGGCAATGAAGGCATATTTGGGACTGAAGTCAAACCACTTGCCACGATTAGTTTCGGAGTTTTAAAGGTTTGTTGCTGCTGCCCGTTGCCTTAATCGCTGGCCAAGACAGTCTAATAACCATCCTTTTTGGAAACCGATCTCTATGACTATGAAACCACAACACTTTTATTGAAGAACATCATCTCACTACAAAATCCTTCACGTTGCAGAACAAATAATGATGTAGTATTACAATAGTATCATTATGTTCGAGTATGTAGAGAAGAGAGACAGTTTTAAGTGTGCGCGTGGAAAAGAACCTGCGGGGAAGAATCATCTCTTCGATCCAGAATCCAACCTGTTGGCTCTACAAGAATGCCTCCGTCTGTTCACCACACCAATCCACAAATTTGGCTGATATACCCGATTCTCCAGTAATCGAACACTCGATACCACCGGGAAGACTGCCAAACCTTCCCCAAGGATATATATAAGCACCACTCTTCTCAGGTGTTATCTCAGGGGCAATAGCTGCCCAGAGCTCCGTATACGCCCCATAAACTGGAGGATATACTATGAATTTATCCTGCAATCGCATATTTGTCAGTATGTACATGAAAAACCATATAGAAGTTCCTTTACTCACACTTATCTTGCTGGCGAGACCAGTCCAATGACGTTGTAGTTCCGTGCGCAGATTACCTGAGTTGAAAGCCGTGTGTACAACGCCTGTTTGCGGAGTAGTCTTGGCACATTCTCGAGCCAGAAAGACGTTACCAACTTTTGCCTGGCTATAGTTGGCTGATACGCCAACATCCTTAAGACTACCATCATTATTGATAAGTATTCCTGTTGGTGGAGAGTCGACATGGATGGCAATAGAAGCAGCCCATGCGACGCGCACGCTACCTGTTTGAGAGGGGGCCACAGCATTTGCAAGGAGAGGAAGGAGTAGTTGGTAGAGGAGGTAGTGACCTAGGCAGTTTGTCGCTACCTGCAACTCGTATCTTTGTGCACTTGTGCTCCTTTAGGAGGATACATAACCTAAAAGCTCACAAACGTACGACAAAACAAGTTGCTTGTGTGTGTAAAGTATGTATGGAGGTTCAGGAAAAGAAGTACATACACCGGCATTGTTGACGGGGACGTCAAGACGTTGTTGCTGGGAAGTAAAATGCTTGACCGCGGGCTTGATCGTGGATAGATCAGCCGGGTCAATTTGCAGAAACTGAATGCTACCGCTACTCTTAGGAGACGCTTCTTTAATTATCGATATGGCATTTTGGGGCTATAGATTCCGAGCGGCCTGCAATCCAAACAGTTGCGTTGTGGGCATAAAGAATTTTACACAATTGAGAACCGACGCCTGCATAACCACCTGTCACGAGAAAAATCTAAATAAACAATCGCGCGCGTTAGAAGGGCATTCAAGACGGATACAGGAAAGAGAAGGCTCTACATACTCGGCCTGTTTGATCGGGACTATTCTTCTCCGTGAGCGACGCCGATGGAATGAAATAGAACTGGCTGAAAATATTGCCCATAATGTTAGTAGAATAACGGGAATTGAGAAAATGCTTATCAGGTTCAAGGCGTTACGAGAAGCTTTTCATTAGAACTAGTTGATGGAGTTCATCTCTATACTTCTACTTTTGCATTCGCCCGCGAGCCCATTAGTTTATGCAGTAGGTATATTGTATTGCTATCGACATGGTTCAACGAAAACCCCTGACTTCCTTGGCACGCGCCATGTTCAAGCCTCGGACCCAGCTCGGGCTTCCACATTTCATGTCCATATTAAATGCTTGTGGACAGCGTTCTGATTGGTTCTAGACAAAGCAATGAAGGTTTAAGGCTGAACACGCATACATGCATAGGGTCCACCAGTGGGTGTACAGACTGATGGGACACTCCAAAAATGGATTTGTAGATATCTCTTGATATATTCAATTTTATATTTTAAGAATTATTACAAACGTTTATTCGAGATGAAACAATCAATGTATAAATCCTAATATCAAACAATTGAAGATTGAATTTGTCAGTTTTTTTGAAAGTTGGGAAGTGTCCCGTCAATCTATGCACCCACTAGTGGTCTAAATGAAGTCTGCTAAAGTTCTGTCCATAGCACTTCCATATGACTGCGCAAAGTCATGCTCTCCGCGGCTAAGCATTGCGCGACCTATTGATATATGTAGCTTCGAATAAATTATACCCTCCTAAAACATCCAAAGCTCACTCCCAGCATCATTCTATGCCAGCTGTTCGCCAACTACACGAGCAAACACACCGGCAACACAATAAGGTTATCAACCAACATCGTAGCTATTTCCCCCTTTCCCTTGATACTAGTAGTTTTGATAAAGAAACGCCAAATCTGTATCTGTGCATACAAAATATCATCACATCATTACTCGGTAGATCTGGAAGAGTGTGTCAAATTCGTATGTTGGTAACGACTACCACCCTGATAAGATTAGCCACCAATCAATCAACCCCACCTCCAATCCCCCACACATACGACGCGAAATGCACTGGCCCCCAAAAACAAACGCCGCACACATACATGCATAAATCCCTACTCAGTAGTTTCTCGTTCGTTTCCCTAATGCAATACTTTCAATTAAGAAACAAGGATAGAGGGTGAGATTTTGGACTCCCGCTCCAATGGCAGTGAAGTAACTTATTCTAACCAGGGCCTGTCTGGTGCTATAGGGATTGAAGCAAACGCGCTATCTGTCGACTATGTAAGCGAATCTCACCTCATCCACTTACTTATGTGCGTCCGATCAAAAGCCTGGTGGGCTTGCGGGCTTGCAGCTATGTGATGTAAAAGAGTGGTAGGGTCATCGAATAAGCCTTCGTATATATCGTAGATGAAGCACTGAAACTTAGCTTCTCCATATTTTCTAATCAACGGGGAGGTGGTGGATACTCGGGCTTTCTGCAACAATAGATATGCTTATTAGTAAGCCATAATATGAGCCCTTCTGTTCATCAGCGTTCGTTCTGACAGGTTGCAATTCATTAGTGACGCAGCTCGGCGGTCTCGGTAGTCACTCAGAGTTCAATGCCGATGGAACCCCTCAGAATCCTAAGGCTGCTATTGACCTCGCTAAGGTATGTGAAACTCGCTATCTAGACAAGCTACATGTTACAAGACAACTAAATGTACTTGGACAGACAATATACGCGCTTGAGCTACTTACATGGCCGGCGGTGGATTGACTAAAATCAGCGTTCTTCTGACGTACAAACGTATTTTTAGCACTCCAAGATTCCAGATAGTGACCTGGATTATGATCGGAGTCAACGTCGCCTGGATCTTAACATTTACGTTTGCGCTCATGTGTATGTCTTCTTCTTGGCAACGGTTTTTGTATTATACTCAGTTAACATAATAGCCTCGTGCTTGCCAATTGCGGGGCCATGGACGGGGACAGATTATAAATGTGTCAATCAAGAGGTCCTCTTCACCGTCGCTTTGACGACAGATGTTGCCACAGACTGTAAGTCATACTGTGTCTCAACCGAACAAAAAACTTACTCGTGTGCTAGTTCTGGTACTATTCTTACCGGCATATGAAGTTAAGAAGTTACAAATTGCCTCTTTCACGAAAGATCCTAATCATAAGCATCTTTTGTCTGGGTGGATTGGTTAGCATCGTCGGCGTTGTTCGAATTTATTTTTTGACCACAATCTATGCCTTCCTATATTCCAGTCATACCCAGCCGGACGTCACATATATGTTGTTTCGTAAAATGAAGCCAAATCGAGGCCAGATTACAGAAAGTTAACATGTTAATTGGGGCTCTATGGGCCAACCTACTACTAGACCATCATTGAAACCAATGTCGGTGTCTTAAGCGCGTGTCTTCCCACACCCCGTCCAATCCTGGAGCGTATCACATACAGCCGCCAATTTTCCCAACTTACCCATCTTTTCTCCTCATCGAGCAGTAAGACGGGTGATATGGGTGATATCCATCTTGGTTCCGTCGAAGACTTATATTTGAGTAAGACACCCAATGAAAGGGTCTGCTCCGTGTAAATTGTCATTTTGTTGTTTGCAGGTTTTGTTTGTGTAGAGGAGTTGAACTTATGTTTCTTATATTTTGATATAACAAGTGATCTCTAGTAGATTCAAAACAATCAAGCTATGTGTTCTGAATATCGCAGATCTCAGTGGTTATAAGCTGCTTGCCAGGCAAACAAAGGGCAAAATTGATATAATTCACAACAAATCTTGTTATTTCTAATTGTAATACATAAATAACTATATTAAAAGAGTTCAATCATACCCTGGACATTTTCTTGATTTAAATATGAAAAGTTCAGGTTTTAATAAACAAAATAGTTATCTCTATGTGTCTATTTGAACTCCGTATATTATATTCTATCAATTGGCTGCTCGCTATAAGTCAACTACCCCACTTTCCGACCACCCCCTGTTTCCGACCACCTAAAAAATTCATATTATCTACACTTAAAACTTTAATAACTCAATAACTATTGAACTTCAATGAAATCGCCTGTAGAATCACTTTCTATAGCACTAGAGCTATCATCTACCTCATCTTCACGATCTCCAGCTTCAATTTGTGTACGCCTTATAGCTCTAATCCCTGCGAACTTCGAATTTGGAGATACCACAACCTTTCGCCTTTTTCTAGGTAATGCTTCATCTAATTGATATTCTAGCTTTCTAATCTTATTCTCTGCCTCTAAGAGTTCATAATCCTTAGCATCGAATCCTTTTATAATCTTGCGAAATAGTAATCTTCGTGTTGGCAAATCGATCTCCTTCTCTTGAATCATTATATCTCTATATTTTCTGATATCGGCTCCTTTTTGAGGGGTTTTCCATTGAATAAACGATGAATATATATTCCATTGAAGAATAGGATCATCATCAGATTCAGGATTAAGTGATAAAACCTCTCTATTGCTATTTTCAAGCAAAAGTCGACTCATAAGAGGTTTAGCCATATTTTTGGGCCAAAGACCACTAGCTTGCCACCCAGACTTGATATTTTGAATAGTTAAACCTTCTATTCTAGCCTTCTGATAGCAAGAAAGGAAATTGCGCTTTCCAATTGGTGAGGAATCGGATAATAGACTTAATTTATTAAGTTCGATTCGATATGCACTTTTTAGGGGTGAGAACACAGATAAATCGAGTGGTTGTAGTACGTGTGACGTATGTGGTGGGAGAAATAAGAGATATATGTTGTTATTAAAGCATTCTAACATAAATGCTGTAGTTTCATGGCTTCCGTGTCCGTCCAAAATGAGGAGTCTTGAATTTTCCGGCTGAATAGGGGTAGTTTGAGGGATATAGATCTTTTTCAGCCATTCTAAAGCTGTAGCATCTGTAGTCCATCCATTTTCTGTAGCGGTAAAGTTCCAACCCTTGAATAGAGTCAAATCTGTTGGAAACCATTGTTGTTGAACTGATTTTCCCTTATATATTACAAGGGGAGTAATGCTTTTTCCATTGGCTGAAATGCATTCTATAAAAGAGGTCCAAATTCGAGATCCAGGTTGCTTTTTTTGAATAAATCTTCGATCAGTGCTTCCTACTACTAGTCCATTAAGACCCTGACCCTCCATTATACCTGCTTCATCCATATTCCATCTGTTGGCCGGCTTAATAGCCTTGATTTCAGGGATTGCGAGGTTCCGGAACCACTTCTTAATAATATCAGATGTAGCACCTGAAACTCGTGCAGAATCGATTTGATGTTGCTTCTTAGTTCCAATATTAGGATGCCTTCGAAAAAAGCTATGTATCCATTTCTTTCCAAGTGAGGGATCCTCCCCTCGTACAATAAGGAGGTGCTCTGCCATCTCTCTGATTTGACGATGTGTAGGGCTAGTACCAAGAGCTTCCTGTACTAATATCCATTCTGCTAGTCGATTCTCCTGAATTGGAGATAACTTTTGAAGTATTTGGGCGCCTTTTTGATGCGAAACTCCACCATATATTCGATCGTGAAGTGTGGTACGTGGAACACCATAATCCAAGCTAGCTCTTCGTATGCTTGCTCCATTTGTAATCGCTCTAAGAGCCTCTGCGATATCTTCTTCGGTATATCTATTCTTCATATCACAATTATAATAATATCAAAATTTCAAATCAATTGATTAAAGCATTGTTGAGTTATTCAAAGTATAAATTTTATAATTACTCAAAGCGGTGTGGTTTTTGAGGTGGTCGAAAAGAGGGGGTGGTCGGAAAGTGGGGTAGTTGACTTATTGAGTCATTTTTTGCATAAGCTTGCACGTCTTTTTTCCCCAGTTTCATCCACCAAGATATGAATAGGGCTGAAGAGAGCTAGGTAACGTAGATCCACCGCTAAATACGAGCCGCAATCCGCTGTGTCATCTTTCTGCTTGCTATCTGATTCCCGAAATAGACACAGAAGATCATGGATAGGCTTTCTAGATGCAGAGAATAGGTCCAATAACATTCTGGTCTCGTCAATACGACTCATTCTTGCTTCTAAAATTTGTGGAGAATCTCGTCCCGTTTTTCTTCGAACCAAAGAAGAGAAAAACAGGAAGTCCTAACTCAAGAGAAGAAAAGTTTGAAGGCTATTTAGTCAGATCTTCTTAATCATCAGACATATTTCTCCATTTTCAGTTGAGAATAGTTTGGACCCCATGATCTGGGGCCTAATGCTTCTTCTTGTCACCATGAAGAGTCACATTCTCAACAGATTGAAACAAATTTCAATAACATTCAAGCAAAAGCTATATTTGAAGGGTTCCTTCAAAAATTTCCATTTCGAGATCATCGGTGGGTAGTGTCAAAGGGCCATTGGTACTCATTAGGAACACATTTGCTATTCTCTCTAAGAGCTTAAATTCTCCGTGGGAGGAATCAAAACACCAGTTAAGATTCAATTGGCAAGACTAAGATCCACAACATCATTCTCATTTCTTTCCGAGGTTGAATAGATCAATCAATATTTTTCTATGCTAGGCAGAGTTATATTGCATGGACAATATCACGTGTATAACCAGTCGTGCATCATCGACCTAATGTCTCTCCCCATCTGTCGTGTCTGATCCTGATTTCGACATTCCGTGAAGGCTAAATCCCGTGGAGGAAGCTTTAAGAGAGAGAGAGCTCGTTTTTTGACGATTACAGAGCACGTGGAAGAAAATTTTATGAGGGGAAAGCAAATAAAGAGTAACATTCTATGTTTGCAAACAAGGTTTAAATTGACCCAATGCATCGCCAATCCGTAGGTATATACAGGAAAGTATCTAGCCGTCTTATGCATGCCACTATCCTAGGACTAATGTTTCTCTAATTATTTGTTTGTCCTCACTGCTACGAACAAATAAAATGGGAAGTGCATTCCAAACACCCGTTTGCTCTATTACTCTAGATGGCATAAGAAAGAACCCAATCCAGTTTTTTAGCATTATAAAACTCTACAATACCATGTCTCATATCTTAAAAGGAAAATTTTCGGAATTAAGTGAACTGAGAACAATCCACATATCATAGAAACGGTTCAGTCTTTGGTGAGCTCTTATTACTTGTACTCATTCTCCACCCAATTCCAAGTAAGTTCATTCGTCGCCCCTCGCTTCTCTTCTAAGCTTCAAGATAAGTAGAATTTATGGAAATCTAAGTTTCACTCCTGCTTTTCGAGCTACCTATGTTGAACTATCTTCATGACTTAAGTCCAAGCTGATCAATTAGTTGTGAATAGATTATCGATCTTCGCAAAGTAGCGGAACAGACCCTTGAAAACTCAGTTGTCCATCGATAATGTCTCGAAAATGGATTTCAACTTTTGCTCCTGCCGAAGCCTCCCAGCACCCTCCTGATTGCCCCCAATATCAAGACTCGCCGGTTGATCTGACTCTCAATTGCGCATTTTGCAATGTGACAGGAGCAAAACAAAGATGTGCAGGTTGCAAAACCTTCTATTGCGATGAACAGTGTCAAAAGGACGATTGGAAATTACACAAGCTAGTCTGTAAATCCTACGTCGACTTTATCACCAATTTGCCACGTCCCCCAAATGGAAATCTCGGACCATTCAAACTTGTGATTCTTCTTCCGGCCAATGATAAGCAGCCGCAATTCCTTTGGATTGACACTTGCTAGATAAGTTCCACGGAATTTTCTCCCATGCAGGCCTTGACATCTCAAGCACTCGTCAAGTGGTTAGATCTCAGTGGAGCGGGAAGAATCGAAACTACTACCCTGCGCTTAAATATCGCCCTACTGGAGAGTTTTCCGGATGACTCAAGATACTGGCATCGCCAGTTGGAGATTAAGATGCTTCCATTGCCCTCCAATAACATTCTTCAAACTCCAATCAACAAATGTGCCAGTAAATTGGCAAGCAATTGCATGACTTTCGGGCATCGAGGCCCCATGATTGTCATTCACAGAAACAAAGGAACCAGATCCATAGGAGATGTTCAGCCCTCAGACCTTCGCATTGTTGCAGACTGGTTGTGCCGCCACGTACCACCAGGAATGAAAGATTATCAAATCAAATACAGCTTCCAAGGTTTCACCAACGAAATCAAGATCCTTGAAGAGTTACATTACGCAGAGAAGTCTGCCGCGCCAAAAGTATCGGCTGTGCGCATGCATTGTGAGGGTGGAACGAAAATCTTGAAATTTCCCAAATATGAGAGCATCGAAACTTCCACTGCAGATTATGCATTTCTCCATGAAGAAACAGAATGCACCAAAGCCCTGGGAATTGGATTGGTACTTCGTCCATTCAATGAGCCGTACGATTATCAGAACTTCGAGGGCCAGCATGAATTAGCTTTGAGAACGAATACTTTAGTTCCTCACCGCAATGAAGAAGTATTATTTCTGCTTTTGACAATTGACCCGGAAGATAAGAGCTGGGGTGGTTTATCTCCAAGAGACATGATGGGATTTCCCCTCCAAGAAATAGGAAGCTTTCAGGTCGTAAGAAAAGACAAAAAGTCAATCACTGTCCATCAAGTTGAAGTAGTCGCCAATTACTTTCGTCGTGTCGTCTACGTTGAAATGGGAAATTTGATTCATGAATACAAAGACGGAATATCACCAACTGTCGAAAAAGAGAAAGTCACGAAGGACCTCCTGAATAGGGATGCTTTGGATAGATATTTTGAGGAATTCAAGAAAGCTAAGATTGAAGCAGGAGATCAATCATGGACTGGTGCTATCAGTCCTTTTGATGTTTAGGTGCGGGGGGTGGAAGTAACGAACTTGAGATGGAAAATTTTGCGCCAAGTATCTGAATCATGTTGTGGAGAGATCGAGGGCGTACGAATAGAATGTTCGAACTTTCAAAAACAGCGCGAACGCCTAGAAATTGTTCTCTGTAGTGAGCACCGTCTGCAACAATTTTAGTTAAGAGAAGTTACGTGCACGATACCTATTCTTAGGCTCTCCATCGTGAATCAATGTGATCAAATATAAGAAACTTAACCCCATGCATGGAATACTTATATGAGTACTACTGAATAACACCAGCCTGAATACTCAAGTATTGATTTGCATTCAGTTAAAAGCATCAACTTTAACATCGTATTGTTTTCTCTTAACCCTGTGTGCAAAACCAAATCCTCCACTATCAGACCAGTTATCAAGCATCTCTTCCACCACTGGTAATTCTGTTGCCTATGTGAAATCTCCAATCGCAAACCGCAAGATCACTTAGAACTCTCTTCGCTATCATCCATCATTATAAACTATCAAATATGAAATCATTTGCCAAACTCTCATGCTGCACCCCAGTTCATGCGTATTGATTCTGGCGATTTAAAACCTGAGAGTAAAGAGAAATAGCAGTAGCCCATGAGGACTTTCCAGCCGCAACTCTCTCTGCTTTCAATTTCTCATAGCACTCCTCGAACTTGGCTTGACACATAAAATCCTTCGCAGACTTCTCACGAACCTTCTTTCGGTCTGATTTCTTGGGATAATCATCGAAGATATATTCTTCAAGCTCTCCCATGGCAGGTGAAAGATCATAGAAGCAAAACCTAGCCAATCCCTCAACCTGATGCGCAGTGATGTCCTTCTTATCTTGCCTTGCAACCAAACCCGTGCCAATGATTGTATCCCATTTCTCCATGTCAGAAAGACCCCAGTATTGCTCCTGTTTAAGATTGGCTCGTAGATTTAGGTATAGTACTTTTCTATTCGACATGGGACCCTCCGATGTTGCACACGCATAATCAATACGAGGTCTTTTATTAACCCAGCGTGGATCAATGTAGCCGGTTTTCCTGGTGAGAAGTGGAGTGTCCATGTGAACCGAGATATCTGTAGGCTTCTCTCTGGTGAAAACAACATGGCTGTCTGAGATTGTAACTTCGGTATACTTAGGCAAGCCTAAGATTTTTCGATCACCCAAGCAGTGGATGTAAACAGCCTTAATACCACGAGTAGAGGTATCTGCGCCTGGGGGAGGAGGAATGGAACCGAAAACTTGAGACATGATTGAATAGTTCTATGGTTAGTCTTGGTAGAGTCGTTTGAAGTAATCGAGAAGGTTGTCGTTTGTAATAGGACTTCTTTCTTTTGTATTGTCGAAAGTTGGAGGTGGAAGTTGGAGTGGAATTTGAGGTGTTTTTGTATTCGCTCGGGAATATCGAATTTGAAGAAGATAATAATACTTTGAAGCTTTCTCCCACAATTCTCTCAAACTTCAGCATATCCATTAACCTCACTTTGACTATTCGACTTCAAAAGTGAGAGAAAGACTCTCAGGATTGCTATTATCACAAGCACGTGCTTTCAAATTCTCTCCAATGTAATCATTTACGTCATATGGCTCATTTTCTAAGCTTTAAGTAACCATGCATAAAATTGTCAAGATTTTCTATTGGGTTTGCAAAAAAAAATCATTAGAATCCGTAGAGACGTTGGGAAAACCAGGAGCTTAACAACAATCTCAAGTTTCGGGGAAGACTACCTACTCTCACCAATACAAGGAGAATAGAGAATAGAACAAACCATTTCCCATAACCCAATGATCAATTTCGTGAATAACTAAATCATTCAGAAATGAAGGAATGAGCCTGCAAGCACAGCAATAGAAATCTCGCGTAAACGCCAAGCACAACAGACACATCAATGCGATCGGCTAACCTTGGAAGGTCGAGTAACTGACAAACTTAATCCAGACGTAAATGAATAAGTAATTTAGATGTGCACAGAACTACATTATACAAAGTAAAATAACTAAAATTGCAAATTATAATCGATCCGCCTAATACTCCCATCAAGCGCCAGCGTAAAAAGTATTCAAAAGTATCAAAAAATATCAAAAAATATCAAAAGTTCGAAAGTATCAAAAACCACCCTTTCATTCCTATACTCACTCGCCATATACCTATAGTACCAAAGTTCTCCCATGCCTATCTGAGTACAACTTTCCAACTCAGCTCCAGTATCAAATCATCTCATAATTATATATCTCTCTCTCACATCTCTATCTCGACCTTTCTCGGAAGTTCTAAAAATAATTTTGTATAAAAACGTATACTTGTATCGAGAGCACAATAGATCCTCGCACTATACAGTCCATGGCGACATGATTGAACCAGTCATACTTCTTTGAAGCACCACATGCTCGCGGGTTAACTCGACACTTTTCGATTTTGGACGAGTGAAAAAAGATGATGTTCTGTTTAATGTCGAGGGAGTTTCCACTTTTCTAATTGTAGGTCTGAGTTGGAGAAGTCTCCTGGGTTGGAAGAATGAAGTAGTGGTTATGATTGATGGGCTTGGTCCCTTTGAGAAAATAGATGCGGAATCGTCATTGTTACCTCTGTTTCTTTTCAAGCTGTAGAGGTCGCAAATATTGAGGGATTCTCTGAGAGAAACATTTTCTTTGTGATGAGATTGATTGGTAGTCGTCGCAAGGGAGGAAGCTGGCGATACTGGAGTGGTTATCGTACTGTGAATACTAACAGATTCTTCAAGAGCCTTCTCTGTATTAATTGAAAGGGATGGCGCTGTTTCGGAATAGGTCCCAGGACCAGCGGCGATTGCATCCGACTCCCTAATCCAATCGGGTAGGAAATCTGGAATGAGAAATGACTCGGTCTCATGTAGCGACGAAGCATCGTCTTTGAAACTACCAAGATTGATACTCGACTGCGAGTGCTGTATGTTGTGTATCGGGAGAAAGGTTTCCGTATTTCCCATCCAATCTGGTTCCGTAAATGTTTCGGCACGCTTTCTGTAGATTCTGCGTTCTTTGTCGTCGAAATGAGTGTTCTTGGACTTTTCCTTTCCATCTTGAGATTTCTTCTTGAGGAACTTGAAAACGCGGCTCACTGATGTACCCAAAGCGCCTTTCGATCGCTCACCGCAAGCGTGTCCAATATCAATATTTGGCTTTCCCTCATAGTTGAAGAGAAAATCAATTAGAATCCTAAAGTCGCAAGGTTGAAAATGCTGGGCGCTTCCAACTGCTCCCCAACCACGCTCTCTAACAACAGCAACCGGGCCCTTCAAACCGAACTTCACATTCCCATCCATAATATGATTAATGCAAGCATTCGGTGACGAGTTATCCGTCAGAAAATTCCCTCGAACAGCCAAAATAATAGAATGATCAAACTTCTTGCTTGCCATGTTGAAATCCACAAGAGTATTCCGCGTATTAATCCGATCTTGGTCGTAATACTGAAGAAATGTTGCAACTGATTTTCCATTAGAACCATTTGCGATCCACGCTAATTCGAACTCTTCCGAACCGACCGGTAATAGGAGACCAAGTCTGTATTTTTTATCCACAGTATCTTCGGGACATGGGTGCGCAGCGATGAAATCTGTGTATTTCTGGCAAATGATGTCATGGACATCGCGATCCACTTTCTGGCAAGCTGATGTACAGTACCAGGTAGCATTGCAGGTTGTGCATGGAATGGAAGCTTCTTCGGTGCAGTATCCGCATTTTGGTTGTTCGATGGTGGGACCGAAGGAGGAGATTGAGACCCGTGGGCCCAGAGTCGGATCTCGACGTGATGGCATGGAGTTGATGGTTTAGCGGCTTATAAGAAGAATTTTAGAGATCTAATAGGGAAAGTAAGAAAAGTTTTCGAAGCTGGTGTAAGGGTCGGTGGGGGTTAATAAGTATACAAACTGGTTGCTACTCGTATAAAGAGTGAATTGAGCTAATAAGTAGTGAAGTATTAATTCGGTATCAGAATAAAACTCTAAGCCGGTATTGTGAATGGGCTGGCGAAACTTACTAATTACAGGAAAGAGGGTTTGAAGAGGAGCGGGTGACGTGAAAGACTGAGGGAAGGTACAGAATTTTCAAATTGACTGTAGAAGACTGACTGTGAGATGCTGATGTTGTAAATCTGCTTTTCTAAAGTCAACCTTTACTATCTAAATGGACGAAAAGGATCTTTGAAATAATAATTACTAGTTAGAATCGGTAAATTATGTTGTGCATTATCAGCCAGCCGTGGGACATTCGGAGGAATAATCCCCAGTACAATCTCGCTTGGAGATCAAGAATTCGGATAATGACTTTCTCTTGTGACTAGGATAGCAATCACGGTACAGATGAGGGGTCAGACTCAAGAAGTGAATACGAAATGCAAGGCATTATTAGTTGAAAAAGCTGAAGGAGACGGGTGCGCATGATACCGGTAAAGGTTCCAAACCTATCGCTAATTTGATTCGCTCCAAAATAGATATCTAATGAATTCTTACCTAGCTAGAAGTCATGCTGATATCTCCATGTGTAGAAAGCAAGCAAGTCCAGAAAACGCTTTCGCCATACCCTTATTCAAGTAATCCATGACATTATCTGTCACAACAATATCTACCACATCAATCTTCAATACCCAAAATATTACTACATCTCTGGACCCAATGATTTATACACATATCCCTCAATCATCAGCCAGAATCAATATACTGAGTCAGTCTCCTTCCCCAGATTCATCACTTTCTGTAAAAGAAGTGTAATGTGATATATCGCTTGTATCATATGAGTCGCTATAAGGGGATATCAGTTCTCCGTCTAGCTGCGGCTGCTGAGTCAGAATATATGCAAAGCAGTTGAAGAAAAATTGTTCGAATTCGCTCCTGCTGAAGTACCCCTCAAGAAGGATTTGTCTCGTTCTAACATCAGGTTCATCTTTCACTTCTCCGAGATCCGATAGCTTAGTGTATGTCGCAATCGCCATCAATTGACGCGGGGTAATATCTTTTCTGTCCTGTCTCGCAACCAGAACCGTACCCACATTTTCTCGCCATTGTGGAGGTATTTCACCCAACGTCACACTATGAAGAAGAGTATCAAGGTGAAGGTGGCCACAAATATCGTTCCTCAAATGATCTTCGTCAAACACAACATCCTTCCCAGCTTCTCGAGGGATTCTTTGTATGATCAATGGAATCCCCATCAATTGCGAGACATTTGTAGGTTGTCCCTCGAAAATCGGGTGCAATTCTGGGACTCTTGTAACCGCAAGCTGAGTCCCTTCTGGAGCATTCTCATAATCGCCCTTACATCTAACGATTACGCATTGCGTAGTATTAAAAGTTTGCTTGAAGACTTGGTGCTTCCTCACTTGATTCCCATTACCAATCTGTCTCAACAATCGTATGACATTGGGGATGTCACCCAAACCAATATCCCGTATAATCGCTGGGCCAATACCAGAGCTCTCTTTTCGAAAAATCACCAAAGTTCCAGTCCAATAGGCTCCCCTCGTGTAAGATATAACGCTATGGTTGAGCTTGGGGTTATCGTCTCGACAGCCTCCTCGACAAAGAATATATGACCATCGTACCCTCGTCTGATTCTCGATTGTCAGCAGAATATCAATTCAAACACTACATGAAGATACCAAACCTTAAATCTTATAGAATCCAGCGACCGAAAATCAAATTCTTTATCATTGGTCTTTGAATGCAGAGAATCTGGACGTTGAACCCATTCCAATCTGGGATCAAGATCAACCGGAAAGTAGAATGCGAGGCTATGACTATCTGAAGGACGTGGACCAAGTGACCTAAAAGCTTTACAAAAACTTTTGTGAAAAGACCAATCCAATCGCTGACACTCCCTGGAGCAATAAAGGATGGACGCGCAGGATCCACAGTACCTTTTGGACAAATTGAATTTGCAACAGAAAGCGCAAGTTAAGAGGGAAGAGAAGATAGTCATATTAATCGTAATAATCTCAGTGAGGTAAAACAATTGAAGGCATTTGAATACGAGTGGTAAACTGAAATTCTAGATATCGATGTTGTGGAATTGTGAATACCGAAGGAAGAGGAAGAGATGGAGATGCGAAAGTAAGTAGTGAACGAGACAAACGCAAAAAGAAGAGGAAGAAGTTTAAAACGGAATTCAATACAATAGAGCCGAAGTCGTCATGATATACAAGGAAAGGTCGATGCACTTCCCCCTCCCCTAAGAGAACCGAAGAAGAAATTCACATACAAAAAAGCGAGACCCTCATCATCAAGCCTCAAATATTGCCTCATTTGATGCAAAATTAAACTCTTTACTATTAAAACACTAAACTTTCTATTAAAATCTCACAAAACCGCACCAACGCGAGTCTCAGGAGAGCTTAGAATGAAGACACTCGGTAGCAAGATCGTATTACTTAAGTTATCGTTGGATATACAGCACAGCGCCAAGTTTAATTATTACAAGTCCGATTATTTCGCGAGGGAATGATGAGAAATCTATCTCAAACAGCTAAAAGTGCATTTCGAAAACTTCTTTTACTTAAGAGCAACATGATGAATGATGTTTGAGAAGATACCAGTTTGGTGGTGCCGTTTTTGAATAGGCGAATCTATTGTGGCGTGTCTCACGTTTGAAACGATCTCGCTAGAGTAGCATCAAAAAAAAGGGGGCAAAGCAGGCGAAGGGTCAAGGCTTTCGGAATGCAAAAGTTCCATTCATCCGGTTGCAGAAACATCACCAATGCTTATACAAAACTATATGTGCTTGATGGAAACCTCAGATGGAGTGAGCTCTACGAATTATATTATCATCTCGTCTAATAATCATCCCAAGCCCTTCTAATGACAGGCCTCGCGGGATCCCACGGCCCGTGGATTTCATTCTTATATTTCTGTAATCCTATCAACCACCAACTACAACCACCCATAGCTAATCCTGTTATCAGCGTTCCCAAAACCACACCAATCAATCCACTTTTCCAATCCCAAGCTGATCTTCCTGACTGTGGCAATACCAATCCTACGCCACCTCCGGCACCAAAGACGAGTAACAGGGTCAGTATTAGATGACCACGTAAAGAATGCAAGCGAGTATAACGGCGGAAAACAGGGAAAAGGCCAAAAACTTCAATGGAGAAGAGTGTAAGACTAAAGACTTGCCCCGTACTAGGAAGACGTGATGCTAGCACTGTGGAGGCCATTAAAGCAGCATTCGTACTCAAACTTGCGGGAATGTTTTTGTTCTTCGTGTTTGATGGTGGATAGCCAGACGAGGATGAAGGAGATGGGGTGGCATAGTCGAAGAAGAATATATTGATTGTAAAGAGGAGGAATGACATTGCCCAGATCGAGTCTGAAGAGGTGGACCTGGTGAGAGATTTGAGAATGGGAGAAAGGCCGAGAAGGGTGAAGTATATTAGAAGGGCTGATTTAGCAGTTGAAAGACGGAGCGATGTGCGATGAGAGAGGCGAGAATTATGCGGTGTATAAACCGGTCGTGTTGGAGGCGGTTGAGTTACATTGGAGGTGGTAGATTGAAGAGATGTTGTTGATATTGAATGGGGATGCTTTGGCCCGTTTGGAGCTGTTGACAATAGATTTGGTGTTGAACTTGTTGCAGATACAGTGTGAGAGAAAGGCTGCGGCGGTGGAAATGCTGGTCGAGTACTTTCTTCCTGTCCCACCCATAAATCCCATAATACCCACCCTAAAAAGGTAGCGATAGAGCCCCAGCCGACCACAGAAACCGGAGAGACATGTTTATCGTATATCCCAACGAAAGAAACAATGAATATGATGACAGAACAAACGTGTTGAACTATGACCGTGGAGTCTGCTACCAATGGCCAAAAATCATAAGGCTGGAGACGTGGGTTTCTTTGCAGATGTTCGAGAAAGGTATCCTGGTCCGTGTAATTGTCTGGATCTATATCAATCGATCAGTATTGTTTTTCATTTGCTGGATTGAAGTATGCTATACATGATTGCTTCACCCATAGCAGTTTTTTCCAAGTAGCTTTCCGTCTTCTGGTACTACTTTTCGTTCTGTCGGTATGCCTTCCTCGACTTCTTAATCTTCCAGCATCCCCATTTGTCATGCGCAATTGGCTGAAAGCGGCAGATGGCCTCCGAGGTGGTGAGGCTTTAGATATAGCATCTTCTGGTGCAAGATGTGACCTTTCATAAGGTATAGTTCGAGCAGATGTGATGTTGGGTGCTGTCGAACTTCGATTTAAGGGGGGAGCGGGTTGAGGTGCCAGTGGAGGCACCATAATTGAGAAGGCTGTAACATTTCAAAGTTGATATCTGGTTAACAAATTGTCAGCCTTGAGGATTGTTTTGGGATGCTATTGAGGTCAGTTCCGGTTACCGTTGTGGATGATGAGCAGTGCGCTTACCTAAGAACGCATGATATGAGCATGATTCACGTGACAATAATCGTATTTTGTTGCATGTCTCAAATTACTGATGAATTATTGATGTGGAGGTAACCATAAGATGGCGAGGGTACGTGGGTGGGTGGGTGAGTGAATGATTTTCTTTTACTTTTCCTACAAGTATTGAGTGACCGATTTAAAGTTAGGATTATTGATTGGTTGGAATTGTAATGGGGCTGCTTATCCGAATTCGATCCAATTAGTCGATTAGAATAGAAGATCTTTGTTCCTACCTACCTATTCATTCCCATAGATAGGTCAGGTATCCGTCCTTCACTTCCTGTGAATGAACAGTGATACACACGTCCCTCTCTGTCTTTGTATCAACATAGTTTGCTAGGTACTGTGCGTTTTTTTTGCTTTAGAAATATCCTATTATTAGACCTTCGATTACCAGATCATGGCAAAGGATGCAGATGATCTGATTATCATCTCATCTCGTCCGTGTCAGAAAAAGATCCTTCAGGATAAGCATATCTCCAATTCTCATCCTACTCCGCACAGAGGAATAATGCAAGGCCGAGTCGACGAGACTGAAACTTACATTGTAAGATCTTATAAGCAACGATGCAGTATTACATTTCATGAAACATAACATTGTCACGTAAGTATCCGGATTCTGGAGTAACCTCAATAAATTGATATCAATCTCATTTGCTTCTCTGCTCTGCACCTTTCTCGGGGTTTCGGTCTTATTTAGCTTTCATGAACGATTCCCTTTCGAGGACCTCGTCTGATGAGCAATGGATGTATCAGTCCTTATTTATATTTCACCGAAGGCAACAGATGAAAAGTTTCAAGAAGAGCTGGAATGGCCCTTCATTAGACGAGCGTTCAGGGATGCCGCTTCGGACCTCAGATCATCTTATGAATGGTGGCAGTACTGGAAGAGTAGTATTAAGATATAAGCTATTTCCCGAACATAGAAAAAGGTGGAAATAACCTTCCATCGTCATTCCAGAAGGATTCATGGTGAAAATTAAGGGTCGGGGGCCACTGGTTTTGCTGACCGCGACCCCTTTCAGTGATTTCCGGTACTCCATACCGGACAGGATAGTTCAGAATGCAGCCTGTGATCCTAACCATACTAACGAACCTTACTAATTCTTATACTTTGTGGGAGAAACATGTGGTTTGCGGGGATTTTGGTACACCACATCGTACACGGTGTACGATGGATGTATGATGAGTAGATGCCGAAGCTTCTCGTCTTTAAGACAAAAGAGGTACAGGGATTCCGGATGGATTTCCCTTGTGTACCTGACGATCGTTGACTATGACGAACAAAAGCTTTTGGAGACTATGTATCATCTGCCATTGAATCTTAAAATATATTCACCGCAAACGATGCTGTAGTCGAACATTAATCTCGTGATAGAAGCATTGAGTAGAGGTATTGATCAAGTGAACGTATATATGGAGTTGGTAGCGCAGAATATTCCCTCAGTCGCATTGAGTTGTTATTATCCTTTACTACGCCCAACTGCCAAGAATCCAATAAATCAAGGGAGCTACCCCTTCATTGACAAGAATAGCTCGTTTAAATACCTACCCTTATGGCATAAGCAGCGCTAGAATCGTATTAGTAACCTCGGTCTAGAAAATCATTTTCAATTGAGGGGAAAATAAGAGTTTTTTGACACTTCACTTCGTATAACAAATTTGATGATGACACTCTTTGGCACTCTGATTGAGCAACCAATGCTCTACTCGTATAGCACCACATAATACAATTTCAATTCGGTATATTGTGATTGAAGCCACCAGATACAGTTACCCACACAGTTCGTTATCGAAGTAGCATGTCAAGCAAAGTACATAAACATGTATCTCTACGAGTCTCCACGAGAGCAAGCCATTCTTAACTTTCCACAAATCATGGTTTTATATTAAAAACATTCCCCAATTGATTGACTAGAGATTCAAATCATCCAAAGTCGCGTGGGGGCGCCATGACCATCTCTTGGTATTACAGTTGGTGGTACTCCGTGGATATTTACGAGCCCACCCAGGTAGCTCCTAGTATCTACTCTTCGGTGTTCAAGCAGTGACCTCCACACAAGGATTTTCGATGGATGCACTGATAGGATACGAAGAAAAGTGGAAGAGGAAGAGCTATAAAAGGTCTCCCCCATAAGTGCAAATCCCACTAATCATGCAAATCTCCACCGTTCCGTGATCTTGTCTTAGTAATATGCTAGATACGAGTAGCGCTGTATATCACTCAATTCACGTTTTCAGGCTCCAGTTTATGAGAGGTCGAGCGAGATCGAGGGATGGGATTGAATGGATGAAACTAAGGACGAATCAGAATGTGATGAATATCGAAGTATATCTTCTATTGTTGGAGGAGTGAATCCTGCTTGTCTGATTGTCTCCTTTGTACCGTACAAAGCCACAAGGCTTATACTCTCATTCTATCAAGCCGGACAAAACCCAGCCCACATCTCACCACGCCGCCTCGAACAGTCCAAAAAAACAATAGCATTCACGCCCCATCAGCCCATGTAACCTTAACTATAAACCATGCCACTTCATGATTTACCCTAGAAATCACCCATGAAAATCGCGCAAGGGCCCTGAGGGGCTGAAGCTTTTCCTTTGCCAACACCCCAATATGGATTTTTAAGTTTTGAAGGATTTCCACCAAATTAGCATTTTAGAAACATGAAGTGGATGGGATCACCCCATGTAACTCCAATCCCTTGTGTAGAGTACCGAAAATACTGATGCATGTTTGTGTTTGTGTTGCAACTATTGTTTTTGCCCAAGTGTGAAGAAATGATTGGCTCTAACACACACCACCTGTGTGTGGTACGCTATTCTTCGGTCTAAATACGAGAGTTTCCCTACCTCACTCCCACCACCTTTTTATATTCATTCTATCGACTCTTGTTCTCAATTTTGCTTTCTTGCTCCAGCCTTTACTTTTTCATCCCTCAAGTATTGATCGATTGAATTGAGCTGTGTTCGGAAAGATTGATCTACAGATACGTTTGCGGCATTCCAAACATTTTGAGTGGGACAAACTACCAAAGCGTCCTAAAACATCGGAATATCACTTGCCATTCACGACGAGGGACGTTTGGTTCTGTACGATTATAGCCATATATATACCGACCTCACCTCTTCCTTCGAAAACTAGTCAATAATTCACATCGTAATCGCTCTATTCATATAAATCGCAAAAATGCGACCATCATCACCGCTCTCGCTCCTCCTTTTCCTCCAACTTTCAACCGCATTCCCAGTTTCCCGAGAATGTTTCAATTCACAATCTTGCAACTCACTCCACTCAGTCAAAGATACTCTCTCGCTCTCTCATCCCAAACTCAGCGATCCCCGCGATCCACATTTCCCAAAACATCAAACGCTACCTGTCCCAACTTTTGTTAAACCAACAACTACTTCCCCTTCGGACGAAGAACATGATGCGGAAGAAGGTGCTTTCGACAATGCACCAATGACCCCATCAAATGACATCTCCGCAGATGAGGCCCTTTCTGCAGAAACACCACTCAGTTCGGCATATCTTCAAAGTTTGACGAGGACGAGTGACGAGGATGAAGCAAGACCAAGTATGCCTACTTCTGCATTACCTAAATTGCGCAAAGAAGATGCGAGGAAATACTGGGAGGGAGAAAATAGAGGGATAAGCAACCATGGAGAAAAACCAGGATGTGGAAATTCCAATTCGTGGCCCGGGACTGCGGTAGGATATCGAACTCGCTTGGCGCATTTGGAGATGGTACGAAGAAATGATTTTATGGTGGTGGGAATTGTGGTGGTGTTTTTACTTGTGGTTTGTGTGTTGGAGTCGGTAGAAAGGTTTGGGTAAGTTTATTATTTTTCCCTCTCTGCTTTGTTAGATTTGGACTTCGGCTAATATGTGCATAGAAATCGGAATTCGAGAAGAGGGGAAATATTTCTAGAGGATGATGAGACGTATGCTTTTATTGTTCAGAAGCCGAGAGAATTCTACCAGATAGAATCCGTTCTCAATGAGAAATACGCGCAAGAATCGGAATACAAAGAATATAAAGATGATGAGACAGTTGTAGCGGAAGATTTCAATACAGATAAAGAGAGAGACAGCTGGATTGAGCTCGCGGCGCTAGCTCATGTTTTTTGGGGGGGTCTATATAAAAGTTGATTGGATAACGGTGTCTGGAACCTGGCAGTGGGGCATTTGATTGTGGAAAACAAACACAATGGGCGTTTTTAGCATGTCTTTACGGTGCCGGATGATTTTGGTCAAGAGTTATATACTTGATGAAGGATGAATTTCTGAATCCCACGCGTGGCAAACAGCGCAATTAGCAACGGCCATCAGGTAGAGAAGAAAGAAAGAATAAATGAACTTTGAACAAGTCGTGAGTCTATGACAATGCTGCTGATCTGCATGAGCCCTGTATATCATTCCATCCGAGTCAGTTCATTTGATTTGTATCTCTGGTGTTATATGGGAGAGGAAATATCCCTTTCTTTTCGGTTCTAAGCATGAGAAAATGATGCTAATACAGTATTAACTCTACCACAATTTAGATATGGGAAATTCTCGCATCGGACGGCTTCTGATTGACAGCTATCCAATTATAACTGAAAAATGGTTCGAATCGATTTGATTGATTTCCTACAAAAGTGCCATTGCAAAGAGAACGTCAACTACATAGATAGTGATGTTAGTTCGCTCTCAGCTAGCTGGGCATCTGGCATCTGGCATCACCTCATATGGAGCTGTTTCTTTGTTTCTTATTTCCTTGCATTTGTGGTTGAGATGAGGATATCGGGTTTCCTGAAAAATATGTGTTGAAGGGGAAAGTCGTATGATTGTATAATCTGGATTGAGGCCAGAGAAGGGGAAAGTTCCTGGATAGACTCATTTGCGTGGGATCGTGGACGTGATCTTTTGTTACCTAGGATGAGTTCGTTTTAAGTCTCAGTAATCATTCTCTTTTCTGTTGATTTTGTTGTACCAACTTTACCTGAATTGTAGAGAAGTGGCGAATTATCATCAACATTATTGTCGTTCCCCCTGTGGACCGTGATGGCGGGACAAAGATTTTGTAGAGGTGGCTGAGCTTATCCATTGATGGCGTTCTTCTACTGATGAAAATGAGACCCACGGTCGGAAAATCTACCATAGTCGCTATGGTTTGATTTCAAGCTTCCTGCTCATGTCATTTGATACTTTGCAATACCAGCTCTTCTTGTCCCGGAACTGTCTCCTGTCTAATGTACCTTCTTCATCGCAGTTTTCATTTCCTTTTCTTAGGGCTACTACTGATAGATTTCTATACACGTCTCTCTTCTTACACTTTTCCAGAAATTGTAATAACGAAAATCAAACTTGCCGGTGGAATCCTTCTCAATGTAAGGCTTTAATATTTGGAGAGTCCGGGGGAATGTTTATCTACGTATTGGTCAAGTGCTTGTATGCCAAATTCAATAGATTCGTCCGTTTCGTCCTTGCGAAATTGCTCGGAAACGGCAAGATAGGTAAGGAATGAGAAACTGAATTGTCGCACAAGTAGACAAAATGATCGATTAACAGTTGAAGTAGTTAAATCAAAAGTGTCTTCAGTTAGGGCAACACAAACATCAAAGCAGTTTCAGTTCTCTTTATACCGTTCATTTTCCATCTTTGCGCGAGGTAGAGTTTGCGTGTTTAATTTGCAAACGCTTGTGAAAGGGGAGACGAGAGGACTGTTTGCTCACCACCCTTCCAATCTTTATTAAAGTAGTAACACGACAAGAAGTTTCACGTCAAGCTCGAATAGTACGTGTATTTTGACTGATTGTACTAGCGGAGAGAGCACAATGTTTGATAGGGAAGAAATCCCCTGGTCTGACTCTGTTATATCACTTTGGTAATTAGTATGAAGTCTTCACGATATGCTTATCATGATTGTACTAGTGTTGGCTCTCAGTTGAAGCTATTGAATAGTTGAAGAGAATTTGTATACTCTTATCAGGGTTGGTTGTTAGAGTAATAAAAGTTAGTCTTATAGTCGCTTTTACTCGAGCCTTTTATACTACTTTGATATATATGAATTATTGAAGGTATCATTGGGATCTATGGGAGTTTGTTGACATGAGGTATCTCCGTTAATGTTTAGTAATTTATTAATACTAATGTCGATAATTTTAGTAATATTTCACTCGATATTACCTATTGAAATAGGTAGTAGAATATATATTGCGTTATATAAGTTCAGTACCCCACTTTTCGGCCACCCCTCTTTTCGGCCACCTTATAAAATATATATATACAATTTTTAAACTTCAATAATTCAACAACAATCCAACTACAATACAATCTTCTATAGCGTTAGTTTTATATATACTATTGAAATCCATTCTATTAATTTCATAATCATTAGCTTCGATTTGAGCCTGGTATATAGCCTTAATCTCAGAAAACTTCGAATTTGAACTAATATTAACCTTCCTCTTTTTTTTAGGTATAATATATTCTAATTTGTATTCTAATTCCTTTATTCAATACTTAAACTTTATAATTTCATAGTTCTTAATATCAAATGCTTTTTAAATCTTTCAAAAGAGTAATCAACGAGCATATAAATCTGTTTCTTTTTTAGATTTCAATATTAATATATATTTTCATAAATCATTTGCTTTTTATAACGTTTCCCATCAAATCAAAAATAAATCTATATTCTATTAAAGCATGAAATCATTATCTAAAATCGAATTCAAGTTTTGAACTTCTTTATTACTATTTTCAAGCAATAATCTAAACAAAAAAGGCTTAGTACGGTTTTGAGGCTATAAACCTAAAGCTCTTCATTCTAAAGTAATATTATTCAAAATTAAACTCTTTAATCTTACTTTCTAATAATATACAAGAAAATTCCTTTTACCTATAAGTATAGAATCAAATAGTAAATCTAATTTATTAAGCTTATATTGATATTTACATTTTAGAAAAGAGAATATTAATAAATCAAAAGGTTGTAGTATATATGATGTATATAAAGGAAGGAATAAGAGATATATATTATTCTTGAAGTATTTAAGTATAAATTGAGTGGTTTCGTAGCTTCTATGTCTGTTCAAAACAAGCAATCTAGTCTCTTTTGAGTCAGAAGGGGCGATTTGAGGAATAAAGACCTCTTTTAGCCATACTAGATCTGTTTCATTAGTAGTCCATCCATTTTCTGTAGCATAGAACTTCTAATCCTTATATATATCAAGCTTAATAGAGAACTATTATTGTTGAATACTTTTACCCTTATATATAATAAGGGGTAATAATGCTTTTTCTGTAGTAAAGATACATTCAATAAAAGAGGTCCAACTTCTTATGCCAAGCTACTTCTTTTGAATAAAGCATCTCTCAGTACTCCCAAGTACCATACTATTCAAGCTCTAGCCTTCCATAATACCAGCTTCATCCATATTCCATCTGTTTTCTGGTTTAATATGAATAATAGCTAATAAATTCAATTTTTTGAAGAATTTGCTAATAATTTCGATAATAGCACCTGAAACACATTAATTATCAATTCTGATTTATCTTTTGATTCGAATTTCAGAGTTTCTAAACAGGAAGTTGTATATCCATTGTTTTCCAAGTGTAAACTCATTCCCTTTCATCTCGAGAAGGGTTTCGCCAATTTCTCATATCTACTGATGTGTAAAACTAATACTCAAAACCTTTTGAATTAATATTCATTCGATTAATACTTTCTTCTATATCGAGGCTATCTTTTGTATATTTTGAGTATCTTTTTAATAAGAAAGGTAACCTTTTATATAACATTAAAGAGTAGTACAAGGTATTCTATAATTCAAACCAGCTTTTCTAATAATTATATTTCCTATTATAACACTAAGTGCCATAGCAATATCATCTTCAATATAATCACTGCCCATAATATAATTAACAATATATCAAATTTTTGAATCAATTGATTCAATAATTGTTAAATCATTAAAGATTAAAGAGAAGTGGTTGGTTAGAGCGGTGAGATTTATAAGGTGGCCGAAAAGTGGGGTGGCCGAAAAGTGGGGTACTGAACTTACTACTCCAACTTTTAATCAAGGCGCGTGATTTCTTATTGTACAAGAAGGTTGAATTCCATAATACGGTTTCCATAGTCATACTAGATTGAAGTGAAAAAGAAGCCTAGGATATCTTTATTCGATCTATCGACGGCTTATTTTGAAGCTTGTGACTTGCACTCAATAATGGTCAGTGTGAAGTAGGAGGCCGAAGTGTTGAGAGCTGACTTTCATATCACATTGACTCGAGTTTCCATGCATTCACTTGTTTGAGCACACTCGAAATCTTCTCAACATCGAATTCCAAACGTCAATCATCACTCTTATTCGTCTTTCGCCTCTCACCTGAGTGTGTACTAATCTCGATTCCATGAGTCTTTGTTAGACCTTCCTTCGAGTGACAAGTATTTTAGAAAATTGATTAGCACATCTATCCAGGGATCGAATGATCAACTGATACAACATTTGAGTTTCATTGATGAAAGTTGCTTCGCATGTCTTTATCCTTGATCAAAACCATTATTATCAAGTGCTTCTACATGTAGTGTAGCTTGAACCTGGATTTGAGTAGTCAGAACGTATTTCTTTTGTTGTATGGGATTGATTCTCCATATGTTTGAGAAAGAAAGTCATGACAAAAGATTCTCCGGACGTGGTATAATTCTAGTCTCAATCCTTCTGGTATTTGATTTAGTACGTTTCGAAAACTCATTTATTTCCTTCAACATGATATTTGTTATATTTGATAAAGAAACTCATCGGTAAAGGCATCCGAATCTAGTATAGTTTTCAATCGAAATGATCACAAAACCCCATCGATCAATCAGTATTATTTTTCCTTGTTCTCAAAAGTCTACTTACGTGCCCTTTTTTCAATCAAACCAGATCAGAGAATTGTCTCCACCATCCATTCCTTGCGCAAATTTTTCTAGACTCACTTTACTATCCCGTATTATCAAGTATCCTACTTTTATCTTCAATCTTGAGGTCAAAGTTCAAACCTAACCGGACGAAATGACGTTATATCTAGACAAGCCGACAATATACAAGCCATTCGAAGGAAATACAAAAGAAGAGTTTCAGGCTCATGTACCCAAAAAGAATGATTTCTTGTTATGTCACAACTGCGGATGGAAAGCAAAAAGCCAGGAACATGATTACTACTTTAGTCATATCAAATGCACGTGTCATGCCAGTAGAGGTATATGGACTATTGGAGACAACTACATTTTGAAAGAAAGACCTGTTTTGGGAAATGCGAGAGCCAGACATGTGGGGCCTGATGTTTCGATTTCCAAATTTCTGTGCGAGAATTCTACTATACCTGTAGCAAAAGACATGCGACAGTGGACGGATAGTAAGAGTGCTTTTTGCATGATGGAGAAAGTTCCGGGCGAAACGCTATGGACAGCTGGGATGCACATGAGCCATGGAGAGATAAACGTCATTGCCAAAGAAGTCGTCCAATATCTTGTAGAATTGCGCACGTTTACATCGACAAAGCTAGAAGCGCCAGATGGTTCACCAATACGAGATGTACAACTAGGCCCTAATGAGAGAATACACTTCGTGACGGAAGATGTTGAAGAATGGTGGGCTCGTACGGAACATCGATTCAACGAAATATTCGTTGAATATCGCCAAAATATCAAAGACCAATATCCAGTGAAAGGACCATACGTGCTCACACATGGTGATCTGCATGCAACCAATATCATGGTAAAGGATGGTCATGTTACCGGTATTATTGATTGGGAACATGGGGGGTATCTTCCGGAATGGTGGGAGGCAATAGCGACTAGATTGGTCCAACCAGGTTCATGGGCCCGTCATTTAAGGGAGGAATGGAAAAAGCAAATTGGGCCATGGCCGGAGAAGGAAGAAAAAATTGTCGGCCACTATCAGAATTGTTACAAAGATTATGAACCAGAAACAACTGGAGTAAGGGAGTGCTTTGATAGAGATGATTTGCTGGTATGTACCAATTACCGCCGTTATATAGAGGAGGTAGGATGGGGATTTGAGGAGACTATTCGTCAACGTGAGATCCGTAAGAAACAGGCGGCTGAGAAGGAAGACGAGGCTTCGGCAGCTCTCAAAACGTTAAGTTTAGAGAAAAAGAAAACTTAAAGAGGGAAGATGATGTATGAATAGTTGTATCTTCGATTGACAATGTGATAACATTTATTTATTAGCTTATTATAAAAATGTCCCCCATAATTTATCTCCGTCTCTCAAAGTTCTGGTTATCTTCATCTCTCTACATCCCACTCTCCCCAGTTATTCCCAGGTATTTTTGTTCGGCTTTCCTCTACCCTTTCTTATTTTGTCTTATCCTACTATTTCCTACTCGCTCTCTTAGATATCCCTCGCTCTCTTAGCGTCTCCTTCATCTCTCCTCCAATGCCGCGCCATCTCGTAATCCTTACTAATTCACACTTCTTCCCGTTTTCTCGCTTCTGTTTTCCTGTTTCTTCCATCTCTCCTCAATTCTTGTTCTCCAACTAAGCTTATTGTACTAATAGGCCAACTGGAAAATCTTCACCTTATTCTCGAGCTCTGGATATGTAAGATCGCGTATGGCAGAAAGTTTCACACCTCGTGTAGGATCCTCACTAATCACAACCAAACATTTCATACCAAACACCTCAATCTGAACCATGATACACATGGGCCATTTATCCTGCTCATTCCCACTTTGATCCTGATTAGATCTTGATTCATGCATCCACAACGGCACACGTCCTTCATGCGTTACAGTTGCGACTCTCTGGGCTCCTCCACGTTGGATGATGATGCGTTCGATGGTTTCATGAGCTGGTAAGACAGCTTTGCACCATTCACAAAGCTCAGCTGATAATGGATTGTTTTTATGAAAGACGCAATAAGGTACTCCGTCCATCATTGTAGATAAAGATCTGGTGATTTGCTGCTTCGGCGGTGAGGAAGGAGATGGTGATACTGAGGATATACAACGCGTGAATTGCGAGCTAATTTAATTTTAGTGTGATGGAGAAAAAGGTTTATTGAGAATACTGTGAGATTCTATAATAAGTATACTAAATCACTTATTAATATCTTACTAATCAAGCTATATATGTATTAATAATATAAGTATAATATGATTTTATATTATAAAATTATATTATTATATTATAATATAGCTATATCTCTTATCAAATTGATTTATAATGAAATAGAATGAGATGGAATCATATGGAAGATTATTAATAAATTAACTAAATTAATTAGTTGTATTTTTCTTTTATGATATAAAATGATTCTGTAAGATTCGATTCAAATCGATCTTATTTATAAGCATAGAAACTACTAGAATTTCATTATAAACTATATAAACCTAGGATATTCTTTAAAGAAAACCTAGGAAAAAAGCAAGCAAATTCAGCTCAATTAAGCTCTTTCTTATAATTTGTCTTCAATTCAACTCTTATATTATATTCGATTTGTCCTTCAAGCTAAAGTGACTAAGTCTTCCACTATTACTAGAATATTATTATTAATATTATATTCTGGATAATTACCTTCAATAAATACGAATAAGGATTCACAGCTGAACACCTTTTCAACTTGGTGTACAAAGGAAAGTGAAAGAATGATATGATAAAGTTGTGTACCAGGATTGATTGAACTCACTTTTATAATGTAAATAACGTTTTGTTAATGGGCTGATTGATTGTTCTAGTTGACCTCGTGGAGAACGTATCGGTGAGTGTCGTTGTTACTGTTGTTACTGTTGTTCTGGTTGAGGTTGAAACTGCTGGTCTGTTCATCTAATGAAGAGTTAGTATTGGGCGATATATATATCATGAAGAGAACAATTGCAAGTGTGAAAACACACGATGCAAAACTCTTCCAAGCCTGTCTGTTTTATTTCGAAACATTGGTACAAAGGAATCTGAGTACAATCTCATGAAGGTGTTCACATTCAAGGATCTGAAAATAAAGATCATCTTTCAATCCGATGCTCCATGTTTTGAAGGAGAGTTGTGAAGAATCTTAAAGCTAGATTGTAGCGTACCATTTGGTGGAGTTTGAGACAAAAATCGTCATCCTGAGTGAATGACATTTCGACAGAACAAAGAAATAGCAATGAAGCTAGGATTCGATTATCTGAGAGTACTGAACTCAATTGAAATGAATCACTTGGCGGTAGGTATGTATCAGCCTTAGAAAAAGACATCTTAGATTTGCTATATGATGACTATTATTGTTTGACATCGTTTTAAACCAGTTGGTTAGCCTATTTCATAAGAGCCGGTATTGTGATGTTGGCAAAGATACCTGGAGAGGAATTGTTGGAAAAGAGAAATTTGATGGGCCAAACTACATAATGAATTTGACTTGGGAAAGTCGAAGCACTGGGTTGAGAATTATTAATTTTTGATATAATAGTAACTCTTGAAATTGCTTGGTTCTGGGGATCAACGAAAAACTAAATAGAATAGAAAGGTCAGAAGATATAAAGTATTAAGTCAACTACCCCACTTTCCGACCACCCCCTCTTTTCGACCACCTCAAAAACCACACCGCTTTGAGTAATTATAAAATTTATACTTTGAATAACTCAACAATGCTTTAATCAATTGATTTGAAATTTTGATATTATTATAATTGTGATATGAAGAATAGATATACCGAAGAAGATATCGCAGAGGCTCTTAGAGCGATTACAAATGGAGCAAGCATACGAAGAGCTAGCTTGGATTATGGTGTTCCACGTACCACACTTCACGATCGAATATATGGTGGAGTTTCGCATCAAAAAGGCGCCCAAATACTTCAAAAGTTATCTCCAATTCAGGAGAATCGACTAGCAGAATGGATATTAGTACAGGAAGCTCTTGGTACTAGCCCTACACATCGTCAAATCAGAGAGATGGCAGAGCACCTCCTTATTGTACGAGGGGAGGATCCCTCACTTGGAAAGAAATGGATACATAGCTTTTTTCGAAGGCATCCTAATATTGGAACTAAGAAGCAACATCAAATCGATTCTGCACGAGTTTCAGGTGCTACATCTGATATTATTAAGAAGTGGTTCCGGAACCTCGCAATCCCTGAAATCAAGGCTATTAAGCCGGCCAACAGATGGAATATGGATGAAGCAGGTATAATGGAGGGTCAGGGTCTTAATGGACTAGTAGTAGGAAGCACTGATCGAAGATTTATTCAAAAAAAGCAACCTGGATCTCGAATTTGGACCTCTTTTATAGAATGCATTTCAGCCAATGGAAAAAGCATTACTCCCCTTGTAATATATAAGGGAAAATCAGTTCAACAACAATGGTTTCCAACAGATTTGACTCTATTCAAGGGTTGGAACTTTACCGCTACAGAAAATGGATGGACTACAGATGCTACAGCTTTAGAATGGCTGAAAAAGATCTATATCCCTCAAACTACCCCTATTCAGCCGGAAAATTCAAGACTCCTCATTTTGGACGGACACGGAAGCCATGAAACTACAGCATTTATGTTAGAATGCTTTAATAACAACATATATCTCTTATTTCTCCCACCACATACGTCACACGTACTACAACCACTCGATTTATCTGTGTTCTCACCCCTAAAAAGTGCATATCGAATCGAACTTAATAAATTAAGTCTATTATCCGATTCCTCACCAATTGGAAAGCGCAATTTCCTTTCTTGCTATCAGAAGGCTAGAATAGAAGGTTTAACTATTCAAAATATCAAGTCTGGGTGGCAAGCTAGTGGTCTTTGGCCCAAAAATATGGCTAAACCTCTTATGAGTCGACTTTTGCTTGAAAATAGCAATAGAGAGGTTTTATCACTTAATCCTGAATCTGATGATGATCCTATTCTTCAATGGAATATATATTCATCGTTTATTCAATGGAAAACCCCTCAAAAAGGAGCCGATATCAGAAAATATAGAGATATAATGATTCAAGAGAAGGAGATCGATTTGCCAACACGAAGATTACTATTTCGCAAGATTATAAAAGGATTCGATGCTAAGGATTATGAACTCTTAGAGGCAGAGAATAAGATTAGAAAGCTAGAATATCAATTAGATGAAGCATTACCTAGAAAAAGGCGAAAGGTTGTGGTATCTCCAAATTCGAAGTTCGCAGGGATTAGAGCTATAAGGCGTACACAAATTGAAGCTGGAGATCGTGAAGATGAGGTAGATGATAGCTCTAGTGCTATAGAAAGTGATTCTACAGGCGATTTCATTGAAGTTCAATAGTTATTGAGTTATTAAAGTTTTAAGTGTAGATAATATGAATTTTTTAGGTGGTCGGAAACAGGGGGTGGTCGGAAAGTGGGGTAGTTGACTTATTGCGTTCCAGCGGCAGCGCTTGGAAGCATTGATATCGATCGATTAACACGCCATTCTCGGTTTCTTTGCCCGAAATGGTTGTAATACTCTGATCTCATATGCACCTTTTGAAATATGCCCGTCATTTTTTCCCCATATAGGACAGATATAGCTAGTATCAAAAACCGTTCAAATTTGTGGAATTAAGTCTAATTTTAGAAAAGAATTGCAGGGCCTAGGGAATTCGATTCCAACCTGAAAGATTCAACCTCAAATTCAAGCAAAAAAGCACTTCAAGATTTACATTCAGATAAAAGTAAATCAATATTGTTAAATTTTCAGAGAATATAAGAGGTAGAGATGTACTTATCAGGCCATAAGAACCAGTATCACGGAGAGCTAAGTGAGGGATTTGACTGAAATGTGTGATGTGTTCTGTTGGATTCACTCTCAAAGTTGAAAAGTTATTGAGAAAACAAACGGTGTTTATCTTGGACTCAATTGAACATCTAATGCAGCTGTGGTAGAAAAAGCACTGAATAATAGAGGAGAAAGTAAAGTGTGCCAAATCAGAGACTCAGTCTCAAAGCACAGATCAGACAGCAGAGGAACAAGACAAAATTCAATTCAGTATTGAACCATTTATGATGAAATTTCTCTTCCTTTTACAAGGCATCATCTGGTGAATGAAATTGCTATAGTCCTCACTTGCTTAGTTTTTCTCGCCTTAGCAAGTCCAAACCAAATACATCTTCGAGACTATCAAGCGCTTTCGTTCAAGTCTACTCATTTCTAACTGCAAATCTCAGTATTCTCATCCGGTACACTTCATCTTCGACATAAAGTCCTTGATAGAAATCATTTGCCCCTCACTAGATACTTGAGCATCTAGCGCATTCTCTAGCACATGATCTTATACGATCCGTCGCCATCCGTTCATCAAACAGAGACTCTATCCCCTACATCGAAAACATCAATCATACACACGCAAGGATGGTGGGAACAATTGGCTGTTGTACAGTCTGCAAGGGAATGCGCGCGCTCATATGTACGAGCTGTAGGTCTGCGGAGTATTGCTTGAAATATTGCCAGAGAAAGGACTACAGAACCCATAAATTGCTCTGTTCTGAGTATGGCCGCATAAGAAACTCAGCCAGACCAAACCCAAACGTCAAACTTGCTATTTGTATCGGACAAGGGCCTCTTGGAGAACCATGTGTTCCTAAGATTATTTGGGTCGAAATAGGAGGTGAAGATGGAGAAAAACACCGTCAAGCAGGTTGAGAGAGATGAAAAAGGTGTCGAGATCTCTACAGACTTGCTTGTACAAGCGATGGATAAGGAATCACATCCGGATCCTGAGTCTCGTAACTTACCATTGAACCATTACTGGTGCATCAAAAGATTAAAACTTGACCATGATATTGTGCTGCGTCATCGAGCTGCACATATGTTCGACGGATCAGCACCCAACATGGGCGTCTTCAAATTCACCGATGGAGGTCAAAGTCTCCTTTGGAGAGGACCTGTGACCTTCTATAGCTGCAAAGGGGTGAAATTGGATAGACTTGCGAATAGAATCCCTGACTTGGAAGTCAATATGCCTGACCTGCACGTCGCATTGAGTCTCTTGCAGAACAATACTGGATCAAATGCTGGACCTGAAGCACTCTCGGCGGGCGGCTTATTTCTGTATGAAGTTCATGAGCCTTTGTTGTTTCAACAACTGATGGTTAGGTACGCAAAGAACGCAACGCCAATCAAGAGTATTCGATTATCTTGTCTCGGAGACATTGAACATCTACGCAAGGAAGAATATCAAGTCGTCGATATTTTACCCAATGATCCCATATTCCACGCCGATCAGCCAGATCCTCATACTGCCGTCCTTAAAAGACTTGGAATTCCACCCATTGCTCGCAAGCTCATTCCCGATGAGGATTTACAGCCAAGTAAGGGTCTGCGGGGTAAAGTGGGCAATGAAGTTCTTGAGAACGAAGTGGCAATCGCTTTGAACCTCATCACTGATGTCAATGGTCACCGTTCCAATTTCCCCAATCTTGGTACACATTGGAAAAAGGTCGTAGGACCGATTATGCTTGTGAGAAGATGGAAAGAGACTCACAATCCACCAAGTGCAAGCACTGGCGACTTTTTGCAAGCTTAAGATCGACTGGAACGACGCTTTGTGGATGGCTATGTTGAAATTGGCTTTGAAAGACTTGATCACTTGGCCTCAATCGAGATCAGACAGAACGAAATACGTGAAGACGAAACGCTCAAGACGCAATTCCAAGACTTTTTCGGAGAACTCAAGCGGGAGAAGGTCAGTGGTGACAATGAGGGCAGAGTTGATGGGGACCCATCTTGGGCTAATGAAGCATCACCATATGATGCGTAAGATAGTGAGTTGTGGCGCCATAATAAATGTTGCAAAATTATGGTCATAGTTAGTCAGTTGCTGGTAGTTGCTTTCAGGAAGAGCAATGCGGCAAGAGAGACGTTAGCCGCGGAGGTACCAGATGCACCATGCAATACTTTATTCGATCGCTTTAGATCATCCAAAGCGTTGTACTTACGTTTGCTTTTTCAGAAGAGATATCAACAATGAAAGGCTGTTCTTCTCGAAATTGAGGCAGACTCTTCGTTATCTTGTTCCCCGTGCGGGAAAACCAACATATTACATATTATCATAATCAGCCAATGTGCAGTTCATGCCCTGGAAACCTGGAAACTACTATGATTTCTACATGTTTTTCAAACTGAAGTACCAGTACCTCATCAAATTATGATCGTCATTCCTTAATAATGAAGCGTTGAAGTTTGAAGACTCGAGGTAAGTCGGGTACTCCACTTTCGAGCCACCCCTCTTTTGAACCACCTTAAAAATTTATATTATATAATATTAAAATATTAATTATTCAACAACTATTCGATATTATAATAAATACTTGAAAATAAACTTTCATTATCATTAGTAACATCTCCCTTATTAATTTCACAATTTCCTATTTTAATTTATACCTCCCTAATTTCTTTAATCTTAGAAAACTTTGAATTTAAATTAGTTTTCATTTTATATTTCTTTTTAAAAATGATTTGTTTTAATTAATACTCTATCACGGAGGTAATAGCTAGGTCTAATGATTACTTTGATTAGAAAATAGGTATATAAAGTGATAATAAATTAAATTGATTTAAAATATAATTATAAGGATCATATTTGATTTATATATTCTGATTAAATAATAAAGTTGTCTAATTAGATATATAGAGTATATAAATAAATTGAATGAAATAGTTTAATAATTATAGGAATATATATCTTAAAGGAATAATAAGATTAATACTATAGGGTTATACTATACGGTGAATTCCATGACATACTCTAATTACTTTATTCAATATTTAGATTATAGAATTTCATAATCTTTAAAATTAAATTCCTTAATAATCTTTTTAAAAGGTTAACAATAAATATAAAGGTTAGTCTTTTTACTTTTAAGGAATATATTGTTACGACCGAGGTCGTCACATGACTAGATTGATTAAAATATCACCTGACCAAGGTGTCCCACTGAGTCCCACTGAGTAAGGCCCAGTGGGACACAGTGGGAAGCAGTAGGACAACAGAGAACGAAGGTCTATATAAGGGAATGGGATTTCATTACAATATAGAGCTTCGTGCTCAAGAACAATCATTAGTTTCATTACTATAGTTACGAGAATTGCAACCAGTTACAACCTTATTGAATTCCTACTTGAAGTCTAGACTAAACCACCTCGAGAGATCTCTAGACACTTCCACGTGACCCTAGAGGCAGCTCCCGTAACATATATATATATATATATAATCTTAAATCATTAATTTTTTAAAACATTTTAAAAGTTGAAATTACAAACTCCTTATTTTGTTAATACATAAGATTATTATTAGAAAGTAAGTTCTAATTCATAACTTCTTTATTATTATTCTTAAGCAATAATCTAAATATAATAAGTTTAATACAATTTAAAGATTATTGTTACGGGAGCTGTCTTTAGGGTCATGTGGAAATATTTAGAATTCTCTCGAGATGGTTTAGTCTAAACTTTAAGTAGGAATTCAATAAGATTATAATTGATTACAATTCTCATAATTATAGTAATGAAATTAATAATTGTTCTTGAGTACAAAGCTTTATATTGTAATGAAACCTATTCCTTATATAGACCTTCATTCTTTATTCTAATCTTTAGGACCTTTTTGATATATTGGATCGTTAAGGATCGCAATGCGCTTTAGGAGCGTTGAAGCTCCTTGACACTTCATCACATGTAATTTATGTCATGTGACGCGGTATGCTGGATGCCGTCGTAACAATTATAAACCTAAAGCTTTTTATTCAATTAATATATTATACTCTATTAAATTATCTAATCATACTTTCTAATAATATATAAGGAAATTAGTTTTTCTAATTATTCTAAAATCCAATAAAAAGACTAATTTATTAAAATAATGCCTATATATTCTTTTGAAAAATGAGAAAACAAATAAATCAAAAGGCTATAGGGTATATAATATATATAATAAAAGAAATAAGAGGTATATATTATACTTAAAGTATTCATATATAAATTCAATAGTTTTATAATTTTTATAATTGTTTAATATAAGGAGTCTTGATTCATTTAATAAGGAGAGAACTATTTAAGGTATAAAAACCTTTTTAAGCTACTTTAAAGTAATATTATTTATAATCTATTTAATATTTATAATAATAAAACATTACCTTTTATAAAGTTTCAAATTAATTGGAAATTATTATTGTTATATTAATTTCTCTTTCAATATAATAAGAAAATCAAAAGCTCTTTTTATAATTGAAATACATTTTATAAATAATATTCAAGTTTTAATATCAAACTCCTTCTTCTGAATAAAACAATGTTTTAAGCTTTCTAGAACTAATCTATTCAATCTCTAGTCTTTTATATACCTATTTTATTTATATTATAATAATATTGAGATTTAATAAAATAAATTAAAGATAAATCCAATTTTGAAAATCATTAATTAATAATATTAACAATTATATCTTTAATATATATTAAATCAATTTTAACTTATCTTTTAATTCTAATCTCTAAATTTCTTTAAAAAAAGTTTTATACTCATTATTTCCTAAATATTAAGAAAGTACTCTTTAATTTTATAAATTTATTAATATATAGAATTAATATTCAAAAACTTTTGAACTAATATTTAATCTATTAATCATTTCTTTTATATTAAAGCTATCTTTTGTATATATTATAAATCTTTATTATAAAATAGATAGTTATTTATATAATTTTAAAGAGTAACCCTTGGAATACTATAATCTAAAATAACTTGTTAAATTAAATACCTATTCATTATCATATATAAAACCAAATTAACATTAACTTTGGTATATATTTTAAATATAATATAAATAATAATATATTAAAATTTTCAATCAATTAAATTAAGAATTATAAAGTTATTAAAGATTTAAGATAAAAGGTTACTTTCTATAATAAGCTTTATTGAGGTGGCTCAAAAGAGGGGTGGCCTGAAAGTGGGGTACCCGACTTAGTTTATTGGTAGGTTTCTGGGACATCACTCAATTGGGACCGGTGAAAAATTAACGCCTGGCGCATTTCTTATAGGCTTCCATTTTCACTCCAAGCATATAAACATGCCTTTTTGTTTTTGTCACAACTCCTTCTCTTCTCCTTCCAGTAAAAGTTTTATCTTGTTTATTGAATCTTTGATATCGTATATCGAGCAGAGCTTCAAAAATGTTGACCTTTCTAATCAGCTTGTCAACACCCCGCTTCGTTTAGAGCCCGACGTCCTGAACATGGGTTCCAGTTCGGCATTCTACTACTATTTTCTTTAGTAGAATATCTGAAAGATTTAATAATAATATCAAGAAATTTCTTCGTATAACCGATATCCCGACATCTTGCATTACCTTATATCTTATGAAGACATTGCATTGAATAGGTAGGTAAAGATGGGATACGATCATGAATGCTTACTCCGCACATAGTCATCGCACCACCGCCTCAAACGGCCGCTCTAATCATCAGTATTTATCCTCCAGCTTCAGCGAACCAAACCGTCAAGGGCTTTCAGTTACACAGATAAGCACAATAATCTACAAGTTCGGTGGTATTCGACCACAGATGGTGACTGAAAATGGTGCCTTGGATTACCTAGTGGCTCCATATCATGGCATCCAGTTCTTTTCTGAAGCGGCTCGAAATCACTTCCCACGATGATTCGACTATCTCTTAGCTTAGGATGTTTGAACCGACGCCTATGAATTTTGGGGTAATTACATTCATTGTACATCCCGCCTCGGTGGCTCGGGTGGGCAGGAAATCCATGTCTAAGTGTGAACCCACTGGGTTTACCTCGGTCAACAATTCGTCAATCGTTATTGACAGCTGTTGGGAATTAGATATTCTGTATCTCATTATTACACAATTTTAGCCGAGCTGATACCTTTTCGTCTCATGTTATCTTCAATCATTCCTCGTGGCCACAAGACAACTTCGAGCAATTCCCGGCTGAGATTAGAACCGTGGGGAAGAACCTGATTGAAACCGTCCAATCCTAGACTTTGCAATCATAACTGCTATTCTAGCCACCCATGACAAGACGTCCGCACTCATGGATTTGCCACTTCTAATATGCGGAGAGTCATTGTCATTTTCGAATTGGGCTTCTTGGTTTAAGGTTCACTTCGCAAAAATCCTGAATATGTATGTGTGCTCAATGCATACTCAAACAGTTGTTCTATGCATCCAGAATATTGCCTATATGCAGGAAACAGGGACGGCACGCGAGAACGCTCGCCGTCAAGCCCAAGGCAAACGGCCCCATCTCTTACTGGTCGCCATAAGCAATCATACACGCATTCAGCACCGTTATCGCTGCTGGCGTTACCCACCTCAAATCAGAGTTCATCAAAAGTGGGAGGAGTCACAAGGATCCTGCAATGCCAAAAGATATCATTTTCATTGGCGGGAACTGCTCCAACGGTCTTCGGTGCTCATCTCTCTTTCTATGGTTCAATCGATTGAACGCTGTCAATATTTAGGTTCTTCAACCCAAATCTACTTGAATTTTAGAGATGCCAAGTATGGAAGATCGCAGTTCTACCATTGTGGCGGATTCGTGGAGCGCACGGGCTTAGCTGACAAGCTCCGTCAAGCTTTACGGCTTACATGCCCAAGACAGTCAAGCTTTGCTTGTCCAGATTGAATGCGGGGCGATTGCTTATCGGAATTCCCCTAAAAGGCAGGTGAACATGTACGTTAAACTATCAGATCATGTCAAAGCTTCTTGCAAAAGACGGTATGTTTGAGGGCAGAAATGGAAAGTTCAAGGTTCATATGGCTCAAAGATATATGCAAACCCTGAAGGTTGCGAATAATTAGTCGTTACACCACATTGCGATTGATCCACAATGGCACACTTCGTATCTTATCTATTTTCAAACTTGGTTTCTAATATCCGAGACAGCTTTCCGTATAACGAGGCTGTAGTGGTTTCTATAAAAGATGCGTGTTTTCCCAAGAATTTCTTCCCTTCACCAGCCCTTCTTATTCTGTCTGTAAGCACTAGCTTTCAGTATGGCCCCGCCACGAGAGACTGACGTCGTTTACGACGAGAAGAGCCATGAAGCACCAGCCATCACCAAGAATCCCGAATCTATTGATGCTAAGGATGCAAAAAATGACAAGTTTGGAGAAACGCCTTACGAAACCGAGATCTCTTCCAGTTCTGATGAAGAAGAACGCGGTGGTGAGGTCAATGCTCTTGAGACTGCAGAAGATATCGTTACCGCAATTATTAACGTCGATGATGATCCAACCTTGAATCCCTGGACTTTCCGCATGTTCTTCATTGGTATGTACAGTGATTATCTTCTTCGTAAGTGCTAATATGTTTTCAGGTTTGGGTCTATCTGCTTTTGGAGCTGTACTCCAAGAGATCTTCTACTTCAAGCCTCAAGTCATTTATGTATCAGTCAGTAAGTTTCTGATAACTACTCCAGCGCTTGTTCCGCGTGTAATTCTAATGCTCCTTAGTGTTCTTGACTATTATCGCATACGTTATTGGAGAATTCATGGCTTTTGCCATCCCTAGATGGGGTGCAGTTGGTCGATTCCTTAATCCTGGCCCATTTAACCAAAAAGAGCACGCTGCCGCTGTTATTATGGCATCGGCCGCCGCCGTTTCGGCTCTATCCACGGAAGCATTAGCAGCTCAAAAGCTTTGGTACGGAGGATATCCTAGTCAAGCTGCCGGTGTATTTTTGACTTTATCTTCACAATTAATTGGTTACGGTGTTGCAGGTATGATGAGAAGTAGTCTTCTGTGGCCTACAAAGATGCTTTACCCAGCAAATCTTCCAGTTACTACTGTCTTGGAAACGTTACACAAAGAAAAGACAGCCAACAAGAAGAGAATGAAGGTTTTCTGGATCATTTTCTTTGCATTATTAGTTTGGGAATTGCTTCCCGAGGTTCGTTTTGCCGACTCTTTGGTCTCAACCCAAGCATATCTGACATTTTGTAGTATATTTTCCCACTCCTTATTGGTGTATCCATCTTTTGTCTCGCAGATCAACACAACCTCGTCTTCACCAATCTTTTCGGAGGCGCAAACGGAAACGAGGGTGTAGGATTCTTATCCCTATCTTTCGACTGGAACTATGTTGCTAGTTTTGGATCTCCTCTGGTTGCCACTTCAGACTTTGGTAAACAGTTTCATCGGTACTCTCGGCTGTATCATTCTCTTTATGGCAGTATACTATGGCAACATTTGGAGGGCACAAGATTTCCCGTTTTTGTCTCAACAATTGTTCAATGGCGATTCGAACTTCACCTTCTACGATACTTTCAATGAGACCACAATCCTCAATGACGATTTTACTGTGAACGAGGAGGCTCTTGAAGCTGGAGGTATTCCTTATATGGCTTCCACCTATATTGTTTATCTCATCACATCCAACATGGGATTCACAGCTAATTTTGTTCATATGTTTCTCTGGAATTATGATGACATCAAGGCCGGATGGGCTTGGGCTAACAAGGCTACACTGAAGAAGTTGTCAACACCTTCCCATTATATGTTCTGGAAAAGCAATGGCAGCAAACGCAGTGAAGAACAAAAGCAAATTTTGAGGGATGATCCTAACATTGATCCGCATTACAAAGTTATGTTGGATTACGATGAAGTCCCTGATCTATGGTACTTCTTGGCATTTGTGGCAAGTTTCATTACTTCGATGGCTTGTCTCTATGCTATGAAGTCTACTCTTCCATGGTGGGGTTTGATCTTGGCTATGCTTTTCTTGACAGTTTTCATGTTATTTTTTGGTGCTCAGTATGCCATTACTGGTTTCCAATTCAATATTGAACCTGTTGCTCAAACTCTCGCCGGATATTTATTCCCTGGAGCTCCTCTTGGTAAGTTACAAGCTCCCGTAACTTGTGACATTACTAACAATGAGACTAGCGAACATGTACTTCACTACCTTTACTTACAATGCTCTTCAGCAAGGACAATATCTCCTCCGAGATTTGAAACTCGCTCAGCAAAACAAGCTTTCTCCAAAGGTCACATATACAACGCAGATAATTGGATGTATTTTCGGTGCTTGTCTGAATTACGTCATGATGATCACGTAAGTTGGTCATTGTCCACGCTCATGCTCTTTGCAAACTAACAGACTCTAGCATCGTCAAGAATCAAGCTGCAAACCTTCTGACTATTGAAGGAACACCCATTTGGTCAGGAGCTAACGTTCAATCCTTCAACTCCCTCGCAATTGCGTGGTCTATTGCACCTAAGATGTTTTCTATCGGTGCTCGTTACCAATGGGTCACCATCGCATATCTCCTCGGATTCATCGTTCCCGTTCCTTTCTGGCTCCTCAACAGATATTTCCCCCAACAACGCATTTGGTCATACCTCAATCTCTCCATTATTCTCTGGTATTTTGGATATCTTTGTGTTGGTATCAACTCCAGTGTCTTCATGTACTACTACATTGGAGCATTCGGTCAATTTTACCTTCGAAAATGGAGACCAAAGTACTTCGTCAAGTGGAACTACTTGGTTTCTGCCGGTCTTGATGGTGGAACTCAAGTCATGCTCTTCCTCCTTACTTTCGCTGTTGCGGGAGGAAGTGGTGTCAGTAGACCGTTCCCAGAGTGGGCTGGAAATGCTGCCAGTGGTAATGTAGATAAATGTATGTATAATGAGGCTAATGGATAATCATGTGATTTGTTGGGGGTGGAATCGGGAAGGAGAGTCCTACTTATCAGTAATTAGAATGAAGGGGGTTGACTGGTGGTTATTAGAAAACTTAGATGTTAATGAGTAGATGATAATACCCCAGTTTCAAACATCTTTATGCCACTGCTTGTCTCACACACGTGTCCTTTATAGATGATGATGCCATTTTATGGACAAATATATGCTGTTGATTGTCTCATGCATGTGACTTTCGTGGATGGGCGAGAATACTTATAAATGCGACCCCTCCTCCCCAAGACGTTGATATATAACGGGGTGTAATATAATCTGTCCACGTGCATCATCCAGTCACTGAGGTGGCGCTCTTAACACCACTCTCACTCATTCTTGACTGCAATTCACCGCGTTTTGTTGATAAGTTTTCCTTTGTTTAGCGCTCTATCAATATGGCTCCGTTCTTACAGCATTTGCTTGCCGAACGAATAATATTGCTTTTCGCTTCTCCAATCAATCTTGTAATGTCGATTTGCCCATACACAAGCTGTAATAAACCTCTAGTACTATCAGAACTAGGATCAAAGCGAAGGGTGAGGCTCGTTGGCTGTATACAAGCCACGATCATTGGAGAATGTCAATAAACCAAAGCTTCCTACGCGTCTATACACGGCCTTCTGATATGGCTAGCCTTGGCACTAACTACCTAGTTACAGAGTAATCTTGTCCGCGTCGTGTAATGTATGAGTATCATCTAGCTCTCTTGCCAGAAAATTATTCTCTTTCCTCATTTCTAAATACATACACAACTTACACACGCACAAAGCATCCATCTACTCCTACATTATGGTTCGATCAACACGAAAATTGGTTCCTCCTGCTGAACTCAATGCATTCGCTTTGAATGCATATCCTGAAGACAATATTGAGACTGCAATTCAAAACTACGTCATTGAGAACTGGGTTAAATGAGCAAAGTTCACGATGAATGGAGTTCGTTATAGGATTGCGGAAGGTATGTTATGTCATATTTTTACCTGAAATTGCAGCCTAAGTGGCTGAACGGGTTTGTTCGATGCTAATGGGTAATAGATATCCTATATTTCCGAGACAAAGGTCTTTGTATTACCAGGGTCGAGGGGGAGGTAAATGACAGGAATCGATTGTTCTGGAACAAGCTGCAATATCCAGTTAATCAGCATGAGATCGACCGCATGACCAGGGCCAAAGAGGCTGCCCGAAGTGTCTTAAAACACAAGAGTGAAGATCAGTGGAATGTCCCAAGACATTCCAAAACACACTTCCTGAACTTTCTTCGAGGTACTTGATCTTCTGATTCCATGATTTGTGATTTTTTGTTTACTAACATATTATAGAAATTCTAGACAACATTTTTAAATATGCTCTAGTCGCCCTTCCTGGAAATGTGATTTCCCCAAATCTTCTGGCCACTAACTGGAAGAAGAGATACATCGAGCCAAGTCACAAGATCCTTGTCACTGGGCAAGACTTCGAGCCGTACTTTGCTAACGATGGCCATCGACCATGGCCATACAATACTTCATACTTCGACAATTCTCAATTCTTATTGAAACGCACGACTCTCCGTGATAAGAAAGGAAAGTATGTTGAGATCCAGAGAATTCTCCGTCCGCAGATCGACGCAACACTCCTCCGCACGTCCAGGTTTTTCCACGAAATCGGCTCCATATTGCTGTATCGTCACAACACATTTCATTTCAGCATGGCAAGTGAAACTATGGAGAAAAGCTCTCCTTCATGGATTGGGGAATGGGCGTATAGACCTGAGCCAAGCACACGTGGGATCGACGAAAAGTCTATCTGTTGGTTCGAGAAGGATACGGAAGACGTAGCACCCACGGTATCCGTAGGTCCTAAATGTCTATATTGTATTCTGTCTAAAGAGCTAGCTAAGTTACAGGAAGTTGTAGGTCTTATATAGACGCTACAAGAGGAGCTAGTCTCTTCTGCTTTTCGCTTGAGGCTACTGTATCCCGCATTCGCTAAAGACTGCAATACAGTAGCTAATGAATTGAAGCTATTCACTAGATCGTAATGATCAGTGTTCATACACTATCTCTAAAGCCATCCAGCAGTTCCAAGGCAAAGCCACCGTCACTTCAATTCCGGGCTGGTGTTACTACGACCCCTTCCTTCGTTTCCTCTATCACGTCCGACTACGCAACTCAACATTCATCAAGAGATTACGAATCGAAGGAACGATCAAAGCCCACGAGTGTAGCAGAAACACGTGCAGGCTTCAGTGCGACGATGACTTCACCATAAGCATGAAATGTTACATACCGTTCATTAACACATTCTGCCCCAGACTGCATGAATTAACGTTAGAGGTGGACGTTGACCATTGGGGGACTCTACCCACTCCAGCTAGACGACAACTCGAATTCCACGGGATCCTCTCACAGTTACTTGAGAATGAAATCAGAGAATTGAAAAATGTTCGAGTTCTCAATGTCGTTGCTGCAAACCCGCTGAGGAGTCACTATCAAAAAGTTGATGTTAGTATTGCGAGAGATACTATACAATGGTTTGAAAAACGAGAGACTGCTCGGGTGGAGAAATAGGTTGACTCTTGTTGTGGCTGCTGGTATTTAGAGCATGCCGGTGAAAGCCTATAAAATCAGTGGAATTTTAAGAGAGGGTTATCTATAACTCAAGGATCGTCAAGAGATATGGGGAATTCTTTGGGTTTCGGTGTATGCAGTAGTTATCGATGTACAAGAATAGCAGGAATGAAGCCTCTCCAGTCGCTACATCAAATCAATAAATCAAAAATATTATACAAAAAAAAAAAAAAGTGTCATGTATTGTGAGCTACATCGTGATATTGTTCAATATCCTCCACCTCATCAAAGATTTCTTCTATAATGCACATCTCTATAATGCATCTTCTTTGAATGTATTCATTTCCAACTGATTATTCCAAAGAATCCGTGATTACCAGTGACTGCCTAGCAATCTCACGCCCTCCCAATCAATTATCTCAAGCTCAAAGTCTTGTGAGCCCAATACATACAGAGCAGATGGAAAATGTTTATGTAATGCACCTTTCAGCACCAACTATCCACAAGAAATTTAATCATACTTATGACCACACCGCAGACTATTCAAATCACATACTATTACCACCTTGATTTGTTCCGCTTCCACTCCTACCCGTATCATGGATTCCCCAGAAGGGATCAAACATGGCCCCGACATTTCCAACCATATCTGTGCCCATTTCAATCCTACTCCCCACTCCTGCCGGCCCAAAATCTATCCCATTAATCCATTGGCCACCATCATCTGCGTTTCCAGAATTCCAATCTGCATAGTGATCATTTCCATTTCCAATCTCCAGCAGACCCAATGTTGTAGCACTTTCAGTCGTGCGCGAAAGAACACTTGTCGTGTTAAGATTGAGGGAATTATGATTTGGTTGTGTGCTGTCACCGTTTGTGTAGTTGACGTGGTCCAGAGAGAGCGGACCTGGTGTCACACTAGAGGTGAAGAGAGAGGGGTTGGAGACTCCAAGGGAGGGGGTGGTGAATAAGCGGCGAGTTTGAGAAGTGGTGAAGATGTGAAGAATTTCTTTGACGCTACGATACTATAAACGATGCAAGATTGATTAATATATGCAAGCCTATGATTACAAGAGTGGAGTGAGGAAAAACCGAATACTTACAACATCATCGACATGAGTATTGACCTCCCTCAATCCCTCTAAAATGTCGGTAACTTTCTCTAACCTACCCATTATCCTGGATCTCTCATCCTCGCTTGAAAATCCCACAATGTCTGCAGTCCTTATGATTATATTACTGCATTGATATACACATGTTGCAATTCCTGTATCACTAATCAATGTATGCCCAATACTTTGTACAGTGTGACAAATATCCAATATTATCACAGCATGTTCGAACGCTTTCCTTTGACAATACTGCACGTATTCCTGAGGAGTATTCTCCAATATCGTATCAGATATCGAGTCTTTGGTTCCCGGAAACATAAATCGGTAAAGATCAGTATGACATTGTTGCCATAAAACATGAAACATAACGAATCTCGTTAGTTGTGGTGAGTATGCTCGGAGGAAGAGATTATCTTCGTTGTATTGAAGATTTGCCGGCAGTGAAGACCGAAGTTGCTCCAATTCAGCCTCCAATTTCTGTAACATATCTCGCGAATCGTATGGATTTGATTTGTCCCGTATAACGTTCCTCGTGTACCTAACAGCTATTATCAGCTTGAGATTTTAAACATTGTGATATAACATACTCTAGGATGCGATGCCTTATGTCAGAAATTCGGAAATAGAATGATCTCAACCCCAAATGCATAGATTCAGACTCATTCGTTCTAGTCGATTTCAAAGGAGCAGTCTCTCCCGGTATACCAAGATCGAAATCCTTTTCACTACAAGGTAATTGAATGTGCATCGAATGCGAAGGACAAACCAGTAATTCCGGAAATCCTCCAGCAGAAAGTCTATCAACGTGGAAAATTGACCACATCAGTCTCCTCCTGCATTCCCTCACCAAAGTTGACAATCCATTATTTTCATAATTCAGCCCCAATACGAATGCCATTTTTGCTGCTACAGCCGTAAGTGCCTGCGATTTGAAGTATTCTTTATGTTCAAACCGATAAAAGACAATCACAAGAAGAACTTCCACCAATACAGCAGAGGGTCTACTCAAACTTTGCCAAACGTAATTTTCGGCCTCATTCATCCATTTCTGAGCTGCAGCATGACTCTCGTCATCCTTTGAGACGAACGCTATTGATGAAGCGCACATAGCTTTGACTAAAGCTGGATTCACAGCACCATTATTCCAATTTCTGAGAAATGTGGCTCGATGAATGAAACCTTTGCCAGGCGTCGAAGAGACAAATTCAAAATATGCATCTATGTACCGCTTAGTAGTAGCCTTTGCGATTCTAAGATCTCTGAGGGGATATGTTAGCAAATTTTCTGCGGAACTTCGCCCCCTCTTCAGGATCTCACACTAAGCCATCTGTCCCATCTCCAACTTCCATCGGACTTCCTCCAGCAGAGACAGCATTCACCACAGCTCCGGGACTATCACCATTTTGGCTCGATCCAGCTGGTGGGTGTCTGGGTACACTCCTCCTCGCCCCTCTACTCGCAGATTCATATTCGCATATGTATCCTCTCTGTTCACACCTCCTACAATTTGGCGTCGTACCACTGCATCTTGCCTTATGCGAATGACAAATCCGACAAGCCTTTCTCGCCCTCTTTCTCTCAGTTCCTGCCTGAGTAAAGCGATCTGGAGAATTGAATTCAAGGTCGTTGTTTGTCAGTCCATGATCGGATGCCATGCTTATCTACACGTGATCGTCTTAATCCCGTGATGGGGCATTCGGAAGAGACTTGATCGGGAATTGTCGGGAAGCGGAGTAACGGGTACGTGTTCGGGGCAATTGTTGCAGATGTTTTCAATTCGATGTCTTGGAGATGTAAGGTCACGGATGTAAAGCAATACTTGGCAAGGACAAAGATTCTTCGATTAAGGTTAATAATGATGGTCACGTGAATACGACGATAACCATCACCGAAGATTTTTCGCAATATTTAGAAGGTTCGATTTGGTAATGTTCGGGATGTTTGGTTGGGCAAAATCAGGACCTCTGTTGTACCAGTAAAAGTTTCGAATTCTGTTTGATATGAAATGGCGTTATGTCTACCTCCGCTCTCCCTTTTTCGAGCAGACTTTGAGACGCGCTTCCTTGTAAATTTACATACTACCACTCCGGGTGAAATAATTTACCATCTAGCGATTAGGACCTATGATGATGGCATTTTCCCCCGAAGCCTTTGCCAGTCCGAACATTCGTGCAAGCCTTTCTTAGAATTAGTGAAAAGTCATCTAATATTTCAATGACTCCAGAGAGTGCGATAGCACTAAATAGTTATCTAGATCCCCTGAGGAAGCACAAAATAGGTGGCTACAGAGTATTCCGTGGTGATTTCCTAATTTCGGCTTTCATCAAGCCTCTTCATCAACCGAAGCGAAAATCCAACAACGAACCTTGGTTTCGCTACCTGATATCACGACCTCGCCCACACAACAATCACAACGATTCAGCATACTGAGCCGAGGCAGTGGCAGTCGATGGCTTACTGCTTATGCCAACTAGGATCTCGAGAGTCATTGGATAGGAAGACCATCAATGTCAACTTCTGGGTCCTTTATCGTCTAGAGGGGCATTGAAAGAAATTCCATACAGTGGAATGGACAGCTGTGGTGATATTATCGATCCAACTTCCTGGGACCAAGAGCCAGGTCACTGAATGAGGAATGACCATGCTAATACAAATTATAAGTATCTCATCAAAGTTCGTCACATGGCATTCGAGAACCGATAGGGATTCAGGATGTGTCGTTGAGATGTCGCCCCAAGCTACAATCTCGCGTATCTCTGTCGTGTTCCACAAACTAACCATCAACGCTTAAATATTCTTCCCGATAACGGGGGCTCGCGAGGGGGGTTCAATTTCTGCTTGATTCTATCACCAAAAGATATCCGAACATTAACCTAGCCCAATTCTCCAGCAATTCATCATTCTTGTGAATATCCTCAGCTTACTATGTTCGGTCCAAGCACAACGTACGTGCAAGGATTTTCCCCCAAACCTCGGGACAAACTCTCTGTATTTCCCCAGTCCTCCACAAACTCCACACTCCACTTGACATCGCAGCAGCAGCCAGCCAAGAGCAAAAAAAGCTAGGCTCGGGGATGACGGCCGGAACATACTAATCGAGTCAGGTGAATCAACCGCATCTTTCATTTCTGACAGAAAGGCGATTTTATGGCAGGAAAGTTCCTGATTTCTGGAAGGAGCTAAGATAAAAGAGCATGCAAGTAAACAAGCGTACAAGCAATTCCCTCGTAAAGTCTCTTGGAAAAAATCCTTGATATCTCACCAGTGCCTGGGGTAAAAATGGGGGTACATGTGTGTGGGCACTCCACATACTCCACGAAAGGATCATCTAGAATATATTCACAATGTAACAATAACCCCGCAAAACAATGCAAGCAAATAGTATAAAGAGGAAGGCGATCTACGTTCTCTTTCGCGGCGGTTTGTATTGAATTTACCATCCTATCTCTCTCTCTCTCTCTCTCTCTCTCTCTCTCTCTCCTCTCCCTCTCTCTTTGTCCTTTCGTTCTTACTCTGTCTTCACCCTCCCAGCATCTAGAGGACAATCCTCGCTCCCGTCTCACACCATGTCCAAACTCGAAGCAGAACACTTGGAAACGGGCGCCGGTGAGCACCCGCCCCTCCAGGAGATTCCCAGCGCAATGGATATCGATTCCAAGGAAGCCCATGGGCAAGTAACCTAGATCTACACTGCATCAGTCGCCTTGGCCGCTGCCGTCGCTGCGCAGAAGCCTCGTCTACTGAGTCGAAATATGATACAATTGTATGCTATCATGGCAATTGGCTATTTAGTTTCCACTATGAATGGTTTTGGTATGTATACATTCCTCTTCTACTCCCAAGATATCTATGGAATCAAGCAAATATATCAAATTCCCACTCATTCCTAACAAACCCCCAGATTCCTCTCTCATGGGCAGTATAAACGCCATGATTCCCTACCAAGAAACCTTCGGCCTCAGCGGCGCCGGTTCCTCCACAGGCGTCATCTTCATCATCTACAACATGGGACAAATTGCCGCCTTCCCCTTCTGTGGACTTCTCGCCGACGGCTACGGTCGTCGCATGTGTATATTCATCGGATGTCTCATTGTCCTCATCGGAACCGCCATCCAAGCCTCCGCACACGCACGCGGCCAATTCATCGGCGGACGATTCGTCCTCGGTTTCGGCGCGGCCCTTGCATCTGCCGCGGGCCCCGCTTACATAGTCGAGCTCGCGCATCCTGCGTATCGGGGAACCATGGCGGGAATGTATAAGAATTTCTGGTGGCTGGGTAATATATTAGCTGGATGGACCACCTACGGCTCGAACAAAAATCTGATCGATTCGTGGGCCTGGAGAGTACCAACATTGGTACAAGCGGGTATTCCCGCGATCGTGATGGGGTTGGTTTTATTTTTCCCAGAATCCCCTCGTTGGTTAATCGCACATGATCGCAGAGAAGAGGCACTCGCCGTCTTCGCGAAGTATCACGGAGATGGCGATGAACAGTCGCCGATTGTGCAACTGCAATATCATGAGATTATCGAACAATTGCAGATGACCCGAAACGACAATCCCTGGTGGGATTTCCGCGAATTGGTTAATACGCGTGGAGCTCGATATCGTCTGTACATGGTTATCGGAATGTCGTTTATTGGACAATGGTCTGGAAATAACGTCTTTTCTTATTTCATGGTATGACTTCTCCTCATATCATTTATAATTTCCGCTAACATACATAAAAGCCCGAAATGATCAAAAACGCAGGTGTCACAAGCACCAACAAACAACTCCTCATCAACGCCATCAATCCCATTTTCTCCATGATGGGAGCGGTTTACGGCGCCACTCTCCTCGATAAACTTGGTCGTCGAACCATGATGTTAGCAGGACTTACCGGAGCATTACTCTCCTACATCATGCTTACCGCATTTACCGCAGCATCCGAAGACCATCCCAACCTCTCCTACGGGGTCATCGTATCGATATTCGTCTTCGGCGTAATCTTCGCATGGGATTTCACACCTCTGCAAACCCTATACGCGGTAGAGTGTTTGGAAAATCGCACTCGTGCCAAGGGTTCTGGATTGAATTTCCTGTTCTTGAATATTGCTATGGTGGTCAATACCTATGGTATTAGTCTTGGTATTGCGGTCATCGGATGGAAATTATACGTGGTGTATATTGCGTGGATCTGTGTCGAATTGGCTATCATTTATTTCTTCTTTGTCGAGACGGCTGGAAAGACGTTGGAGGAAATGGCTTTGATTTTCGATGCTCCTAATCCACGAAAGGAGAGTACGAAGAAGACGAGTGTAGCTCTTGATGAGTCTGGACGAGTAATGGGTATTAATGATAACGTGTAAATTGAGAGAATGGAGATAGGCAAATAATGAAGGGACATAAATAGTCCAACGAACTCTAAATTAATAATTGAAAATGCTATAATCATAGTGTAATGAACTTTATATAGTTTCCGAACACTATGAATATAAATATGAATATAAATATGAATATAAATATGAATATGAATATGGATATCAATACCAAAACTCCCCTTGAAATCACTATTGAACCGAGCTTTGGTATTAGTGACTACAACCATTCCTTGCTAACCCCTTGGATCATCTTCCCACTTTGGTTCCTGAATTTCCTTGTTTTTCTGAAACAATACGAAGACCTTTCCTTCCGTTACGCCATAAAATGCAAGATCCCGTGTTAGCAAATAAGAAAGACACTATACAATCTTGAACATTCCCAATTTTCAGTATCAGCATCGAAGAAGTACTCTTCCCCTCCTTTCACCAGTCAGAACTCTATCAAATGCTCAAAAGACCTCCTTGCTGTCTTTGGCCCGCTTCCTGAAAACTTCGAAACTGCAATAACACCTCCTTAACATCATTCCACGGTGCCGCCGTATAAAACGAATCTTCCGAGCCGACGTCCGAATCCGTATCTGAATCCGTGTAATCCGATCCCATCAATTCACCGAGTTCGTTGAATAAAGTCGGTACGTTTCCTTTTCCAGTGCTCGAGCCCCCTCCGAGATAGGATGAATCTTCATCAAACGATCCCCCGTCCTCATTATCAGATGCTTCTCTCTCGTCCCATGAACTAAGCGTATCGGCATGATCGGCCTCTGAAGAATTCCAAAAAGGTTCTGATTCATCCAACTCTTGCTCTTGCTCATTAGAGGCCCATTCTACATTCAACCATTGTTCCGTCGACTTTTTCCAGTGTTTAGGAAATTTATCCACTTCCTGCGTCTGGAATCCTTTCAAAATCAATTCCGGTTCCGTCTTCGAGCTTCGATTCCGCGAAAATGTGGCGATGATTGCGCGGTATAACGAGGGAGGCATTGTCATCAAACGTATCTCATGTGATCCGCTGTTGGCGTCAATTTGCATCCCGACAATATTGCTCATGAGTCTCGATTCCAATAACGCTTTTGCCCAGTGTGAAGGTATATTTTCGTAGTCACATGGTGCGACATATTCCGAAGGTAGATGCGTAGATTCGTCTTCGAACACAACGGATATCTTCATTTGTCGTACCAGCCTACAATTGTACACTCCGACTTGGTTTTGGAAATCGAAAAGTTCCCTCGGTCTGTGGAAGGAGAAATTGTTGCAGGAGTATAAGACTTGTACTGCTTCTTCGTATATTTGTTTGTTGACTAGAAGCAAACCAGGTGTAGGAGGTTTGAATGGGTAATGTGTTGAATCTGGGAATGTGTCGCAGGATAGCATTCTAATATGTCGAACTCCAACGAATGCTTCGCGAGTTGCTTGGAGAGCGTATTTATATATTTGATCGCGGACTTCCCGGGGAAATGAGAGAAATGGTAATGATTTGTCGTAAATGCCAGAGGCTTCCTTCATTGATTCTAGTTCTTCCCATACTTGATTATGCTTCCTGGCTGTAGCGAAGAGTAAACGTTCGAGGTATTCATTTGCTGCTTGTAAAGATTGGACATCGTTACCAAAGGCTCTTTCATCAACTAAATCATTCAAATCAATCATATTTTGGGCAGATACAATCCCTCCAAGTTGTGTGTATATCTGGATGATGTTGATGTCGATATTAATATCTTTGCTTAGTATGTATGAGTTCAGATCAATGATGTAAATACGATGATAGGATTAATCCGAGCTTTGTACAATAATTTAAATATGAATATGAATATGAATTTTAAGAATAATGTAAAACGAGTTCAGAATAAGTTCTTTCTCAAAAATTGAAATTCAACTAACTGATCATGCAAGATGCAATCGATGCAGTATCTGATCAGTCTAACGAAGACCCCGACCATATAAAGTAAAGCCCCTGTATGCAAGCGATGGATTTGTGTTGATACCCCTCATTTTATTGGGTAGCTTATGTAGGATATGCAGTATCTAGGTTGTGAATGCGAACAATTCTGACGTGGTGACAAGACTATTCCTCTCTTGATTTAATCATTCACATAGAACTTCACGAATGGGGAATTGAGAAAATCTGGAATGTCAGTCCTACCTTCATCGGGCTTCACATCCATATCCTTCACCGACCATTATGAGAGTAGCAATCTTCGTGACCGTCTTTTGTCCATAATGGGGTCCTGGAAGGAAGTTCTAACTCATTATGGTATTCGATAATGCAATTTTTGCAGGAACATGTGCACAGGACTGTAGAGGAGGTGCAGTAGTGTAAATTGGTGCTGTGATAGTACCGTATTACGATGATCCATTAGTACACTATTCGGACCATCCCGTGGAGTTCCTTCACAGGGATTGATATCGGATGGAAAGATTCCTTCATGGATTCCCAACGGCTATTATGTATGTAGTTCGTAGTAGGTGTTCAAATCTTCCCAGCTTACTCTACCAGACAGATCCAACACAATTTACCCCTCCAAGAGCCTCCACGATAACGAAGATTTCGAAAATTTCGAAAATCTCAAACCAAGATTCATAGTCGTCTCATACATCAATCTCTCGGTTGGTCAAGGTGCTTGAGACTGAGTCTTTTACACAGGTACCTAAGGTCACTCGAATATGCATACTACAAGCGGTCTATGATACCCAGAGAAGGACTCATTTCCCGTCCTCCACCATGGTAAGAGTTGCCGTTAGATACACAGGTTTGATTAAATTGTCTCAACGATCTCATCGATTCTGCTACCCTGGCAGGCTACTCAAAAGTTTAATACACGACCAGCCTGCCACCAAACATCAGCGAACGGTAACGAGTTTGTGGTGGGCGGGCTGACAATGGAACCTAAATCGGACATACAACATCGCAGAGTCAATCAACACAATGGCATACATGGATTGATGAAGGGTCGTGCGAAAGAAGCTTCTGCAAGTGGAATCTGTGGACAGGCGTTGGAGCATTAGCCATTCTTATCTCCTTAGCTGAAGATTCTAGAAGGTTGAGTACATCGACCCTCTACTTTACATTATCGCTATGTAAATGTGAAAGGTAGATGCAAAGACAGTCATAAGCCTATCATTTCAATTGTGGTATTATGTTTCGTCGAGATATTGCATTACCAATGAACCTGAAGTTTGGAAAATTTGAAGGTACAGGGGAGTACAAGCGTACAGGGCCTCTTCCCTACATTGGGAATCAATTTGAGGAAACCCAGACTACATAGCTAGAGAAGGTAAGCAGATCGTCTTTTAGGAGAAAAAGATATCTGGGGTATGATAAATATAATCTCATTTTTTGTAGATTTCATTTTACTCTCTTTGCATCTGACCTTTGATTCTTATTTTAGGACACAATCGGTGGTGGAGTTTGGTACACAGCACCGCCTGTTTGTAATCTCCTGCCTGTTTTTGTCTGGCGTTCATAAGGTTCTAGGTAGGCGAAGTATCAATACCCTCATCCTTCCCTAGCAATCAAACCATCAGGCTTCTCTCTACCGTTAGCCCAATCTGCTTTACCATCCCTTTCCTTTACCATTTTCATAATTCTCGTTCAAAACTCGTGCACCGCATCCCCGACGCCCCCGAGAAAGGAAGACAACCAACCCACAACACTCCCCACTCTTATGACCCAGCGGGGGAAAGAAACCCTCACATTTCAGAGTAAAGATGCGGGTGATCTCCTGGAAGTAAACGGGAAGGCAACATATCAACAAACACAAACACAAACACAAACGAATACCCTCTAGCTACGCGAAGAAGCACGATCATAATATTACGCCCTTCACTCTGCTATACAATACCAAATTAGCACTCCCCCCTCTCCCTCCTAACAAATCACGCCTAATGAGATGACCAAAAAATAACAAAAGCTAGACTCAGTTCACAGCAGGAACCCTCCCATCCCATCCAATGCATACCAGACACCGGACGCACGATTCCCATTAACAAACCACGGAATCGAAGGAAAAGGGAGAATATGCAAAATTCAGATACTTCTACCACCCATCTATCTATTTATCTACCTATCTATCCGTCTATCTACGAGTAATAAAATAGTATCCAAGAGTCATCGAGAGAAAAATCCAGCGAGGAAAAGAACCCATGACGAGAAGCAGACGAACATCACAACTCACAAATGCAGAAATTCAAAGTGTTTTTGAACAAAAATATCCATATCCATAAATATTCACAAATAAAGAATCCAAATCTCAAATGAGACATTGCGCCACGAAGCGCAGAGCCTTCTCTAGATATAATCATGACCGTTAAAAGTGCACGCTTGATATTGAATATCCTATTGTTCTATTCTAAAGACCAGTTTGAATGTGTAATTGTGAGATAATGAGGAAATCAGAGGCACTCCAGAAGCCATTCAACACCAAAGCCAGTTGACACCCGTGAATACACATCGTTTGAAATGATTGATATTCTATTCTCTGCCCGTAATAGGAATTCAACTTTATATATCCAAAACCTGCTCATCTGCAAGTTTTCTCTACTGATATTGACGCCCGAAAGACGCGGTAGACAGATTGATAGTTTCGAAAAATAGGTGTCCTGAAGACGAATTGAATAAAGAACAAAAGAAATCGGCCAGATTCATAGCAAAAGCTGTCTATGCAAGCCTGTGGGTTTAACGCCTTGCTTCCCAACGCGACCCCTTTCCTGTTATCCGGTTGTCCTGATACATAACGCCGATAATATGCCCAACTCCAGCCGATGCCACGAGATTAATGGTTTTTTTAATGGTATGCTCACATACAGGAATAAACATAGTAGATTTCCTCCAACGGATTTCAAAACCACTCGACACACAGAAATGCGCTTCCACCAATAACACCCGCAACAATCAGCATAGTAAATATCGTAGCTCCAACTTTGTCGGCGGTGGTGACGGGTGTAATCTCGGTTCCATCCGTTCTCATTCTCGAATCTGTTCCTGCATGTGCATCACCTTCACTGGTACCGGTTCCTGCTACCTTACTAACCCAATCTCTGGTTTGGGGTAATAATAGACCCTGGACGGCTTCCAATGCTGACATTTGTTCTCCTACGCCAGTAATTCCATCGTGTTCTCCCGTGGTCCATTTCAAGCCACACGAATTGCCTCGTTTTCCAGCCGTACAGGTTTTTACTGCTGCTGTTGCGGTGGTAAATAGCAAAGGCATGATAGTATCGTAGGTAAAAGGCGCAAGCTTGGCTGTCGCAGCTAACCACCGTCCAAAATAACATTTAAATGATTGTTGATCGTTATTGCAAGTACCACTTTCGCACGCTTCGACCATAATTCCATTTTGAAAAAAGTCCGTTGATGAGTTGAGAAGGCCGGTGACACGATCTTTCCAGATAGCGCTGCCGTTTGTCTAATAATGTCAGTATTCAAGTCAAGAAACATATTGGAATCCGCATGAAGCTTACATGGTTGTACATGGCAGCACTTCCCATCAAGTAAATGCCGGTATTGTAGGTCCAACGATTGTGGTCTTTATCTGTGCAGTTGTCGGAATTCTGAGTTCCGTCATATACATCGTACTCGGGAGAAATGAGTCCTACTCCATACACCCAATCGAAGATTTTTTCCGCCCAATCCGCATAAGTTTTATCACCGGTATATAAAGCGAGTCGCGCTGCCAAATTAAAGACGCATCCGTTTGAAATACTGTTCTTGTAGTTGTAACCATTGTTGAAAGTGAAAATTTGCCACCGAAATCCACCATTACATGTCGAATTATCCCATCGTGCGATTTGAGTGTTGAAGACTCCTTGTGCAAGCGCTAGCCATCCCGGAGATGGATCTGGAGGATCTTGAAATTTGGTTTCCGCCGCTGTCATCGCTGCCATCCCCCAGAATCCTTGATCATCGTTTCCTTCTGTTTTTGTTTGATTTAGAGGCATAAAGTCATCATCGTCTCCAGCTTGATGTAGTAGTGCTTGCTGAACACTATCGTTGTAGGTTGTATCATTTGTGTAGTACCAGTAATTAATCATGGTTCCGAACCTTTGAGAGGTTAGTCAGAGCCATCGAGAGAATAGGGGAAACCTTACATAGCGCCCGCCTCCCACCAATAATATGGCGATGGTAAATTGCCTGGCACGTCTCCTGTGTTGTTTCCAGTGTAATATGACATGAGATCATATGCTATGTTACTTGCTGCAGTTTTGATCGAGTCCGAAGATGTGATATCAAGTGTGATGGCACCCTCCACGCCATGGCCAGCAAGAGCGTAGAGGCTTGCCGCATAGATTAAAGAAGAATCGAGCTTCATGATGTGAAAATGACAGAAGAATAGAACATGTACATGAAAGTAGGTGTGAATAGGGATTGGTAAAGTTTGAGGTTTGAAATCGAGAATAAAAGAGTGACTGATTTCTATGACAGCGGCTGAGCAGAGGAGCAAAAGAGTGAATGTATTCAAATACAAGGCTTGAGTGTGTAGCAGAAGACCTACGAGATCAGATGAAGATGAACATTGGTATGGGATGTTTTCCGTTCGTTCACTATGTTATCTTTGGGTATAGTCAAATGCCAAGGTCAAAGACAGCATACTGAGCACAGCCTCAATTGAGTTGATTTGCACTAGCATCTTGACCCTATCCGAATTCACCTTGGAAACGTTTTCATTTCTGACTATGCCGCTGCCAAGTCGTCAGGGGATGCCGAGATCTTGGGAGGAAAGGTGGTTTACGAATTTGGTGGATCGCCAAGTGCACGGAATTATGCTGTGAGACATTACCGAAACTCAGACTGATGCTGATGGGATTGGATGATGGTGTTGTGTGTGTGTGTGTGTGTGTGTCTGTGTGTGTATTATAGAGAGCGATTCAGGTGTAGCAATACGCGTGTATCATGTTTGAGTTGATAAGCATACGGTCGATATAAACATAAACTCAAGAACAGGAACCAAAGATGTTCCAACTGTGGAGATTCATTTTGGAGATGAAGGGGGTTCGAGGGGTTTGAACTTTGATAGGAGAAAGGAGTGGAGCAATTTGGAGAAGATGGAAGATGGATGAATAATATCTCAAGAAGCTTGGATAATTCTTGCAACGATCCAATGATTTTAGTTGAAAAATACTCTCTCACGTGATATCTAATTTCGTATTCCGTATAATCCGTGATCCTCAGAGGGTGCCGTGGATATCAATTTCTAGATTCAATCTTGGAGCCTTTTCGTTCGGAAATTGATCAATGCTCGTCTTCATGTTCCGTTCTGGGTGTATCTCATCGCACTCATTTCTTTTGTCGGTTTAGTATAGCTGATATTTACGATCATAGAAACACGGTACACGCTTCGAAGCCGCCATACCAACACAATTGAGCTTAACATTGTCTGAAGGTCTGTCTTCCTGTGTCCCTTGACCCAATACTTCGGAGGGATTGGAAACAACGGTCTCTTCTCTTGTGACCGTCAACGAACACATTGATCATGTTTTCTTACGTTTAGCCTCCCCTTACTCCGCGTCATCACTTTTACTTTCGCTTTTCTTGGCAGAAATCACTGTACTGCAACTAAAAGCGTTTGATGCTAGTACACGCATGAACGTATCCTTCCAGGGCTGAAGTTTGGATGCATCTTCTTGCATATCCTTGCATAAATTTTCTTGTTATATTCCATGGTTCTGCTCTTGCGGGGTCTCCGTCTTCCTGAATCTAACGATGGCAAGCACATGTCCATTATACTTACATTTAGCCATTGCTATCTATGTAGGTGTTTCGTGAAATGGTAGCGCGCGGTTATTCCTGAGATACACGCCTTTCAACACATGCTCGAGGCCGCCTCCTTAACATCTTGGCTTGGCCACAAAAACGTTGGCAGTTCCGAGACAATGGTTTCACGGGCCAAAAAATATTCATAAATATTTATATACTTGGACAACCCGAGTGTTAATCTTCGCGGCCACCCCCAGAACTAGAGATAATCTAGATTTCCGACCTGAACCGATTGAAGATGCTAACCTGTGATTTATAATATAACACAACGTTGGCACCGTTACAAATAATCTCCTGTAGCTAGCGTACGATTCTTTTTCACTCGTGTCATCGTGATTACAAGATCATCATCACGAACAGTTCGGAATTCTACTTTACTATATCAACATGTCTCCACCAATGAGTATTCCTCCGAGTCGATCTACCCTGGTAGACAATCAACCTCCTCGCCCAAGGCTGGAAAATGACTTTCGACGTGACAGCCACGATTCTGATCAAGGAAAAGCTGCGCCTCTACCATTACTCTATCCTCCAACTCCACTTCCCCCAGTGATCTTGCTCGAAGGCCGAACGAAGGATAAGGTCACCCAGCGCATTCTTGAGGAAGAGGATCTTGAATCGCTGGAGAAGGCGAAGATCAAAGAAATTGAAGAAAGTAATGGATGGAGGTTCACTAGTGATACGGCGGGAAAAATGTATTTAAAAATTCAGGATAAGCATAAAAGCATCTTCATCGCATGCAATGACTTTGCAAGAGAGTGTAAGGAAGCGATCCAATCAGCCCCACGAGCTGATTCGCGAGTGGATTCGAAGAGGAAAGGGGCTTCAGCTCCTAGTCTTAGTATCTTGCTGACTCCGGAAAAGAAAGCACAGCATCTGAAGAGATTGACTACATTATTGACGTCAAAGAACAGACATGCCCAGTACTGGACAGTCGAAGATCTTCCCAATGAATGGCTCAAGATTGACAATGAGGCTTTGTGTTCAAAAGAAGACCGAGCGGTACTGATTGAGAAGGTCGATAAGAAGAAAAAAGCCCTTGAGAAGTCGAAGCCTGGGGGCAAGGTAGAAGATGGAAAGTCTAAAGAAGGACACAGACTTCCAATAAACGACGTGAGAAGAACAAGTGATGATAGGCAAAGAGAACGTCGTCAAGGGCCCGTAAATAAGTTCGAACTTGAAGGAGTGATCGATAATGGGATGCGAAGAAGCAGTAGAGAAAAACTTGATGGGAGAGCTCATGAGGGACGCCGAGTGCCAGAAGATGAGCTCGAAAAGGCAAAAATGATATCCAAAGATAGGACAAGAATCCATGACACAAAGGTCGATGGGAGAATCAAAAACATACAGCAAGCACCAATAAGTGGGGTTGGAAAGGAGCAGACTGTTGTTGAGAAACCAAGAGGTAATACTAGGACGGAAATCGATGAAACATCCAATGAAGGACGTCGAGTGTCAGAAGATGAAGCCGCGAAGACAAGGACGGCCATTGCTGAGGATTCCAGACCTCATGGCAGAAAAGAATTGGATGAGAAATCCAAAGGGGAACGTCAAGTGTTAGGAGATGAGATTGCAAAGAAAAAATTGGTTCCCGGCAACAGGCCGAGAGCTGGTCACCCAGAAGTCGATGGGAGACTCAAGAATACACACCGAGCGCCAATGAACGGTGATCAAAGGGGACAGATCCTTGTCGAGAAACTTAAAGCTGGTAGCAAGGTCGAGGATGATGTTAATTCTAATGAAGGTAATATACTACCTAATAAGAGGCATGGCTCAGCCGCAATAGATGAAGTCGGAAATAGACGGGCAGTGGCGGTGGATAAGTCAAGAATTGCTAAAGTAGAAAGTGATTGGAGATCCAAAGATAATAATCACCTGCTACCTAAGAAGAGACATGGAAGTCAGTAGCCTGCATATACAATGGCACTATATTCGTAGGAGAGATAGCTTGCATCGGAATGTTTCAATCAAGAATGACTAAAAACTGTACAAGCCCTATGTATTCAGAGCGATCATTTGAATGTATGTCGTAAGATGAAGATGTTGGTGAACTCGTTACCATGCTATATAGTCCGTTGTGGTGTAGTAATACATTACTAACGATTGAATTCCGTGCAAACCCCCAAACCTCGAACTTTGTTGCAAACCTGGCAATGAATTCATTCCTCTAATGACTTTCAAGCCCGCTCAGGACCCAATTGACAAGATTTCCAACTCAACGGTCTTCGTAAGCATCTACCATCTGATTCAAACTGCCCAAACATTGGATATTATTTCCCTAATACTCGATTATATTCGCCGACACGCAGTAACATCGGAGTCCCCAGTATATCTTACCATAAATTCCAATCTCGACTCACAAAGACCCCTGATCGAAAATGTAAACATATCATTTCTATGATTTTAATATATACGGACAGGTCGTTGCGCGTAATGCGGGGTTTTGTGAACGAGTGAGGATAATACTTGAATGATAATGTAAAGCTTATTACTTGGTATTGAGATGAAAATTAGGGACTTTATGAACAAGAGACCCCTAGTTTTTTGACATGAAATTCAGATCTTGGTTCAATTTCAACCGCTCCATGAAAGACGTCGATGACTAACCTTAAGCGTGCGGTGTCCGAGTCCATCGTCATCTACATTACACCCAAACCCCTTATGGTTCATATCACAAGTCAATCCACCAATCTTTTGTTCTCTCGATCAATATTTTATTGTTGGTATTCCTGGTTTCGCATGTATACCGACGGTGAAACTGCTCCTTCACTTCGAGTGTTCCACAAAGCTCTCCTATCCCCGGCCTCATGGTTGATCATAAAGTGTGGTCATCCTGTTTTTGGTTTTTTTGTCAATTATGACGCATTTAGACTCCTTCATTTGTACTTTGCTGCGTACGAGCAATTTATCTTTCATTTAGTCGAGTGGCTCTGTGTGAATACTTCTTGCTTTCTGTGTACCGACAGTTTGGTAGCAGTTTACGATGTTCCAACGAACTTACTGGGTTTGACTGCAAGATCATTCAGCCCTTCCCGTGGCTTGTTCGGATTCGCTAATAAGGACTTTCTGAGTGTCGTGAACTTCATGTTCTGGTGATGGTTGGAGAAGGTGAGACGAGTAATTACTGGCATAAACACAATGGCTTTTACGGTATTTCCACCAGTATCGTGTGTGTAGGGTTCTTCTAGGAAAGCCTAGGGAATGATTACATCGATTTGTAACTCCAAAAAGAACCTTGCCGATGTAATCAACCCACCTAATTTCAGTGCTCTATTTTATTGGAGCAAGCTGCTCAATAGTATAACATAGTTAGTCCATCTTAGAACGGGGATGAGACCCTTCTAGATTCCATATTGTGACGCAAGGACCTACAGAGGAAGTCCCCTTTATCTTTACCCGAAGTCCTGGAATCAAGCCAAAGACAATATAAATACTTGACATCACACATCTGAAACTACAGAACTGGCGGAGTCAATAAACCTTACACTGCCACCAAATCTACTCTATTCTTGAAGCTTCGAGGACATTGCGCCAATTCACATGGATTGCTGTGAAGAAAGCCAGAGATCAAGTGATGGTCTTCTTTCGGGAACTTCTGGCCATTTGCTTGCTTCCGAAGCCCAAGTTAGAACAAGTTCATGAGCCGATTGAAGCACTACAGCAAGGAATAAGTGATTTAGGGTTGGATTGCATTCAATCTTGATGTGGGAGGTCTGATTATTAAACTTCTCGGGGATAAAATTGAAAGAGATGAGAGTTTAATACATACTTTGAGTTGAGTTTTTGAGGGAATTTCTTGACATGGACACCGAACCCTTTTGCGACTTTACAAATTGTTGGCCGCGTGATAAATCTTTTCTACTCACCCAGAGCCATAACAGTTGGAACCAACCAAATCTCACCTGCAGATGACGGCTTATCCTACCTCGGCCTAGATAAATTTCTAATATTATTCAATAAAGTTCACTGCCTCTTGTTCCCAAAGACAACTCTCAAATCTCACAATCAGATTCATCTATAATAACTCCACAACAAAAAGGCTGCGCATAGCGATTTTCAATATGGAATAAATCAGATACCCTACTTTCGAGCCACTTCCCTTTTGGGCCACTTTTTACACCAAAAATAGAATTTTTAATTTTCTTATTTATAAATAGAATTTATTGAAAACTTATATATATATATAATTTAGATCATTTTTAATTTATCTTGAAAATTTCAGATTTTTAGGAATTTTCTGTATTAAGATCTAAAGCTTTAAAATATCGATTTTTAAATTTATATAAGAATTATATATAAATTTGAAACTTTTATAAAATCTTTAATAACTTTTTAATAAAAATTATTAAAAATAAATTATAAAAATTTATTATAAATTTATAATATATTGATTTCAAAAGATTTAGAAAAAAAAAGAAAATTTTCTATAAATAGATATTTAAAAAAATATTCTTAAAATTATAGGAATTATTTATATTACTTTATGTTGGAAGTTGTGGCATATATACTTAGCTACTATGTATATATCACTTCTACTTTATAGTTAGATTTTATTTTAGTATAATTAATCTATATAATCACTTTTACATATATTTCATTAACCTACTCTTTCATTATGAACAAATTATAAGCCCAGTGTTACGATGGATCAAGTAACAGGCTGTAGAATCACCAACTTATAGGCTATAATGGTATTATAGGCCTCGGTGATTCAACTGTAGTATACCAGGGGACACTAGGCACTTAAGGACGCCTTAGGCATGTATATAATATTAGTTATAGAATACACTGAATCATAGGACGTGGTTCTTAGGATAGTAGAGTCCTAGGAAGAATAAGCAATACAGGGCACAGTAAACAAGAGAGATCTTGCTAGGATTAGTAAGCTCCTAAAGGATTAGCCCTAGGACAGGAAATAAGACAGGACGACAAGACTCACGGGACTAATGTCACGTGATGGACCGTCCCATCAGTCCCACCGATTATTATTAATGGGATCAGTGGGATCCCATCACTCTTACTATTCTTAGTGAGTGGGATCGGTGGGACAGCAGAGTGTGAAGGTTTATATAAAGGAAAGGGTTTCTTTATATGTAGAGCTTCGTGCTCAAGAATAATTATTAGTTTCATTATTATAGTTATAAGAATTGTAATTAATTATAATCTTATTGAATTCCTATTTGAAGTTTAGTTTAAACTATCTTAAGAGATCTCTAGACACTTCCACATAACCCTAGAGGCAGCTCCTGTAACAACATATTAGCCTTTTATTCCCAAATAACTTGAAGAAGCTTTAGTATATTGTCGATTTTAGTAGTAATCATAACTATATCTATAATAAATTCAATTTCTTATTTTTAGGCTTTTAATAAGAGTATTATATTACTCTTCTACTTTAATAGAATAATCTAATTTACTTTTATAATATTATCAATAATAAGGAGAAAGTATCTATATTCTTAAATAAATTTTGAAAAAGGGTTAATAATATTGAAATAAATTAATTCTAATCTTTTAGATTTTTATATACTTAATTGATTTAGGATTTTATTAATTATTTTTATAAAAATGTATACTTTATAAATATTAAAAATTAAAAAAACCTTAATAGATCTCTAAAGTGTAATAACTTTATATAAATTCCTAATTTTATTAAAATTAAAATGATTAAAGTGTTTATATTAAATAAGGTATTTTTCCTTTTTTATTATAGTTAATTCTTCAACTTTTTCTTTTATACTATTAATAATCTCTATAAAGAGTATAAAAAATACAGAATCTTTATATTCTGATTTATATATGAAATAATATATATCCCATCTTTCATTTTAATTTTAATAATTTTAATATTTTTATTGTTTTTTGATATAAAATATATCTTCTTGAGACTAAATGTACCCTTAAGCCCTGCTTTACAAATTCTTTTGACTAAAAGTAAATTGATTCTTAATCCAGGTATATATAGCATTTTAGCTAATAATATCCTTATTCCATCCTTATACATTATATTCATTATCCCTTGTTTATCTAAATATATAGCTTCTTTATTAATTATTATCCTTTATTGTAGAATATAAATTAGACTTCTGAAGAAAAAATATTAATCAAATATATATAAAGTAATACTAGTATTAACATATTATTATAATAAAAATATTTTACTAATATTTTTTTTAATAAGATAATAATACTTGAAATTAGATTTATTAATAATAATATTTTTAGTAGTATTGGAGCTTAATTTAGTGATATAAGCCTTATGCTTGCTATACTTTTTATCTCTTTATAATAAGAAGATAGATTATCTTTTCTTTTGTTTATACTTTAAATTAGATTTCAAGAAATACTTGGCGTAACGAAGCTAGAAGTATTTTAGAATTAAATGATTAGGTTTATTATAGAGTTTATAAATAATAATGAATATATTAGTTTTTAAGCTTATACTAATCTTGTATTAATAATAAGGTGGAATATATTTCTTTCTTTTTGTAAGATATACTGAATCTTTAAAATTTTGTATTTTTAATTTTTTAATTTGTAAATACTTGATTTTATTATCAATATTTAAAGTAGAATTGATAATGCGGATTATATTAATAATAACTTTGTATTTATTAGGGAGAAATAAGGTTAAACTTTAAAAAAATGATTTATTTATATACAAAGTAACAGCTGAAGTATCTATAGATAAGGGTTTTTGTTGAAGATCTTTAAGCTTATTCTAGATATTTATTATAATTATATTAAGGATATTATTAGATTGAAAAAAAAAGGTTTTGATTTTAAAGAGGTATTTGTTTATTATAATATTATCGATTTTGAAGTATTTTATTATTAAATAATCTCAAAGTTTTTTTATTATATTATATTTTTTTATTAAAGCTTTATTATTATTAGATAATAAATAA